GAAGTAGCGCTCGTGACCCTGTCCATGGACGCGGGCTGGGCCCCACACGTCCATGTGAAGCGTCTGCATCGGGGCCTCCGTCGGAGGGAACGGGGAGGAGTGAGGGGTAGCCCGCAGGCGACCCTCGACACAGGGGACACAGGGAGGGCCAGGCCCCGGAGGAAGGGGAGGGAGGGACCGGGGAAGGCCAGAGACAAGAAGGCGAGAGGCCATGCCCCGGAGACGAGGCAGGGAGGGGTGACCCATCCTGTGGTGCCACAGGAGGGTCTCGTGGGACAGGAGGCGACACGAGCAGGGGGCAGACTCAGGACCAGACCTGGACGCTGCAGCAAACACCTGACCAGACGCAGCTACCTGACCAGACGCAGGAGAAGGAGACGAAACAGTGAGTGTGTATAGGCTCGACCCTGGACCACGTGTGAATGTGGTCAGGTGTCGACCCGTGTCCGCGTCCGTGCAGTGGGTGACTCGTCGGCGCGCAGGGGTGAACTGGTCAACCCCTGCATCCTGTAGGTCAGCACCCGCCACCAAGTTCGTGGAGAACAAGGGGAGGTAGAGACCGGACAGGGCGCCAGACGGGACCGCAGGGCACGGCAGGACAGTGGAGTAGCGAGCCAGAACAGGACCCCCGGAGGGGTCTGCCAAGGAGACCGCCACTGGCCGACTAAGCGGCGTGAGTGTGGTGCGGTCTCGAAAGAAGGAGCGAGACGCCCCGGAGTCAAGAGTGAAAGTGAGAGAGGGTGAAGTCGACACAGTACCTGAGAGAGCAGACTCACCAGCACCTGAGGACTCAGACTCACTGGCACCTAGAGCAACCGCCTCACCAGCACCTGGAGCAGCAGCCTCAACAGCACCTAGAGCCGCAGTACCAATGCCCGGGTCGGGCGGGAAACACCGGTAACAGTCACTCTCCTCACTAATAGTCACAACATACATAGCAGCAAGAATAGCATCAAAGTCAAGATCAAAGATAGCTACTCCAGCCCTAGACAGCTGGTCCCAGCGAGGGATCTCAGAGGCGTCAGGAAACTGGCGGCGCCAAGCGTCAGTCAGGCGGCCGAAGCAACGCTGGGCGGAGTGTGAACCACCACACTGCTCACCCGCACGGTCGCCAGTGCGCAGGACATAAGTGCACGGACCAGTACCCCCACCCCGCTGACGCGCAGAGTACCACTCACGGAGCTGCTGCGGGGAGAGGGTCTCCTGACCACGCTGCTGCTGCTGGCGCTGACCACCACCGGAGCCACTCCTCCTCGGCGCGCCACGACCTCCGCCGCCTCCTCCGCCGCCTCCTCGGCCGCCGCCGCCACCACCTCCACCGCCACCGCCACTCCCACCGTCGCCGCCGCCACCGCCGCCTCCGCCTCCACCCCCACTACCACCGCCGCTGCCGCCCCCGCCTCCACTGCCTCCGCCGACACCTCCACTGCCTCCGCCGACACCTCCACTCCCGCCACTACTCCCGCTACCACCCTCACCTCCGCCGCTGCCTCTACCTCCGCCTCCACCGCCCCCGCCGCCTCCACCACCGCCCCTGCCCCCCTTGCTCTTGCCAGAGCGACGTCTCCCGCTGGGGGCAGACGCCGCTCCGACCGACTCAAAACCAACCAGGTCGGCCGTAGCAGCAGAGGCGACAGAGGGCAGGAGGGGGGAGGGGGAACACCCCTCAAAGATGGGGGTGCGCGGGTCACCACGAGAGGCCCCTACAGCGAGAATGCTCTTCTCAGCTGCGAGGAGGGACTTCTCGAGGATCTCGACAGTGAGAGTGGTGGGGCAGACTGCGAGTAGGTCGTCCCTGACTCCGCGAAGGGAGTCAGGGAGGCGGGTGACAATGTAGTAGAGGGTGAAGTACTGGGGGGGGGGGTTCTTGGCGCAGAATTCAGCAGGAAGTGCAGCGCGGAAGCGAGCGTCACTAGTGCGCAGGTGGGTAATGAGGTCGGCGACTGTGGCAAAAGCAGCAAGGTCGGGAAAGAGGTACGGTAGCATGAGGCGGCTCAGTGCAGCAGTGGCAGGGGTGGAGTAGCGTGCGATAACGGCGTCGTACAAGGTCTTAGCACTCTTGTACGACCCAAAGTGCGCACGCTCAGCGGGAGGGAGGTGGCGACGCACAGCAAGACGTGCAGCAGCATCGCGTGTGGCCCACACTGAGCGAACAGTGGCATCCTCAGTAGCAGCAGGGGCGGGAGAGGCACCAGAAGTGAGATCAAAGAGAGAGAGTCCGTCAGCTCTGTCGCACTGTAGGAAAAGCAGTAGGTCGTCTACCCACACGTCAAAGTCAATGGCTCTGCCCTCAGCGTCAAAGGCGAGGACACTGGGGGTAGCCATGACAGCAGTAGAGAGAGGGCAGTGCGCAGAGTAAAGCTCAGTGCTCACCAGACAGGGCAGTGCAGGGAGGGCTCGGGCGGCTCGGGCGGCTCGACTGCTGGGCGGCTCGGGCGACTCGGCGGCTCGGGCGGCTCGGGCGGCACTGCAGCTGGGGCGGCTCGGCTGCTGGGGCGGCTCGGCTGCTGGGGCGGCTCGGCTGCTGGGGCGTTTCGGCTGCGGGGGCGGTTCGGCTGCTGGGGCGGCTCGGCGGCTGGGGCGGCTCGGCTGCTGGGGCGGCTCTGCTGCTGGGGCGGCTCGGCCGGGAGATGCAGGGGCGGGGGCGTCAGGTGCAGCGGCGGGCCGGCAGGTGCAGCGGCGGGTCGACCGGTGCAGCGGCGAGTCCGTAGGGTGCAGCGGCGGGCAGGTAGGTGCAGCGGCGGGGCCGTCAGGTGAAGCGGCGGGCCGCTGGGTGCAGCGGCGGGCCGTAGGGTGCAGCGGGGGGCCGGCAGGTGAAGCGGCGGGCCGCTGGGTGCAGTGGCGGGCCGTAGGGTGCAGCGGCGGGCCGGCAGGCGCAGCGGCGGGGCCGTCAGGTGAGGCGGCGGGCCGTAGGGTGCAGCGGCGGGCCGTAAGGTGCAGCGGCGGGCCGGCAGGGCCGCGTCAGAGCCGGCGGCGGGGCCGCGTCAGTGGAGGCGGCGGGGCCGCGTCAAGCAGGCGGCGGGGCCGCGACGAAGCGGGCGGCAGGGCCGCGTCAGAGCCGGCGGCGGGGCCGCGTCAGTGGAGGCGGCGGGGCCGCGTCAGTGGAGGCGGCGGGGCCGCGTCAGTGGAGGCGGCGGGGCCGCGTCAAGCAGGCGGCGGGGCCGCGATCAGGAGGGGCAGCGGGGCCGCGAGGGAAATGGCGACCCGAGGGGTCGCTAAAAAAAATGCGCGCCTCGGGGCGCGCTTTGGTGGGCCCTAAAAAAACGGTCCTTAGGAAGGACCCGCTCTATACCATGTGAAACAAGTGAACAGGAATGTGTGAACTATGAATGAAGGCAGTACAAATATGAAACCCTAACTGGGTTGTACCCCCTATGGGATACCCCACTACAGCCTACACAATAGTATAAGCTATAGATATGTTATGACAGTTGTTGTTGTTGTTGTTGTTGTTGTTGTTGTTGTTTTTTTTTTTTTTTTTTTTTTTTTTTTTTGCAGGTCTTGCTTTTTATGCTTTTCTTGGATCTGTTTAATAATATATACTTGTATTTAAACTTGCAGGTTATATTCAAGGCCCTTGTGGCTCACTGTTACGCTTCGAGGCGGGGTGAACGTACCTGCCGACACCACTGGCAGGCGCCTCCTCTCTCTCCACCAGCAGTATGTCCCGTCTCTCTGGACTTCTACCCCTCATGTCCTGCTTTCTGTTGGTAGATTTTTTTTGAAGTCACTTGATATTCTAACTCGACTTTTACTTTATGTGGCAGGTTTCTCCATCAAGGAATTTCAGCATGCTCAACATCCATTTTAGCACTATGGACTGCTGAGGCGCGCTAAGGCTCAAGAATGGCGAGATAAGTTGCCTAACCCTTGCCTTCACTGCTTGATTCAGTTGCTGCACTATCCCGTTTTGCTTCCACGCTTGCTGATTCCTTTGCTTTATTCATGTTGTGGCTTCAAGTTAATTTCGTTCACTGACTTAGTTCCTTCACCTCGTGGCAGGTTCTCTCCAAGGGCTCTCTGCACGCCTGTGAAGCTCCAAGTCCCTGTGCACTGCTCAACACCTTTAACTCCCCAACTACAGATAAGTCTCAGGCCTTAGCGCCTTGTTGGTTTTTGCTGAATCTATTTTATGAGTCCGTGTTCAGCATTTTGCTTTAACGCATGCTGCCTCCTTCCTGTTTTTCAAGAACCTGGACCAGTTTTTTCCTTTTTTACCATGCAGGTGCCTTCATGGGCATTGGGCAGCAATCATGGCTGTTGGAGGTTGAAGGCAGTGCATGAGAGGGGTTGAAGCTTTGAGCATTGGCTGGGGAGGGGACTCGATTCCAGGCCAAACCGGATTGGTTCTGTCCCCTCCCGCCCCCACCAAGTGACAAAACTGTCTGGCCAGCAGTGATGTCATTTGGTGGAGGTGGGGGTGGGCAGAGCCAGTCCCTAGTAGGGCACCCGCACGTCTTGGTCCTGGAAATGCTCAAGGCTCAGGCTTCTTCTCTGCCTGTGCAGTGCACTGCCAGTCCACGCCGGGGTGGGCATGGATGGCATGCATGGATAGTAGTCCCTGGAGGGCTTATGATGAACACGTGGTTCAAAATATTAGCTCTAGGAAGGATACTACTGGGATTAGACAGCTTGTTACTGTATGATGTCTAGGCAGAGAATGAATGGATTATATTGATTGCACCTTTAGGATCTTGGAACTTGCTGTTTGTACACGTCCTACTGGATGCCATACTAAAGTGAATGCAGGTGATCTGGTATGCAAGTACGGTATAAGCTTGTACACAGAGAAATCTCACACCATGAACATATTGATCAGACCTGTTATGCGGAAGGAGGAGTCTAAATACGGTAGAGGCAACTGAAGAATATGAAACTGTGATTTTAGATAGATTAGATAATCGGTAATAAACGCATCTTGCTTATTACTCCACAAGACCACAAATATTCACAGATTTGACACCTTGCTACAGCAATCTCAGTTCCCTCCTTGCAGTGAGTCAGCCGGCCATGTTTTGTTCTATGGCCATCACCACGTCCCCCATGCCGCCACCCGCCTTGAGCACCTCTACCACTGCACTGTGTGCCGCGCGGTTGCGCTGCAGCAGCAAATACGCCTGCAGCACTGCCCACCGTGCCTGGTTGGCCATCTGCGGAGATGGTGGGTAGGAGGGTGTGGTGAGAGCAGACAGAGCACAGCGTTTGTGGGCAAATGACCCAACGGCAGCGCACTAGAGAGCTGAGGGGAGCACGAGCAGATGCCATGCTTTAACGTACTGCAACAGCAGCATGGGGTGGCAGCAGGGGCAGCGGCGGTAAGCACGCACACACCTGGGGGCCGGACCAGGAGGGCTGCAGGTTGGAGAGGAAGGCCTTGAAGAGATTCTCATCGCCCTCCCCTCCCTCCGCCTGCCCGTACTGCACCGCCTCCGCTGCCACCCCCGCGAACAGCACTATGCTGTACCTGCATCGGGAAAGAAAGGAGAAGAAGGTGAGAGGAGAGGTAGCGAGGAAAGAGATGGAAAGAGAGGTTTCGGAGAACAGAGTAGGTGGGAAGAGACACACGCAAATGAGAGAGATAGCAGGGAGGAGTACAGGGAGTATGGAGGAGGGAGGGGAGGAGGGAGGGGAGGAGGGAGGGGAGAAGGGAGGGGTGGAGGAGCAGGGAGAAGGGAGAGGAGAAGCAGCGGTCCAAAGGAGATCCAAAAGGCACTTACCGGTCGACAGAGGCAGATGATAGTTGGCCTGCACGCAGCTCGTCCTCGAGGCGCTCGTCCCAGAACTGCGTGCCCGCCTGCCCCCTCACCCCCATGCGCATCGCCTCAAACGCGTCCAGCACCACCCCCCGCACCGGACACCCCAGCAGGTACGCTGGTGGCGGAGGTGAGTGGGGTGGGGTGTGGTTGAGATGAGTGGGGGCGTGTGGGGGAGTGGAGTGCGAGTTTGAGGATGGCTGAGGCACCAAATAGAGAGCACCCAGTCCATGCCCACCTCCCATTCCCTGTGACACCCCACCCACCTGCTACGATGTGGCCCGCCTCGTGCACCAGCACGCGCTCGCGGAAGGGCGCCCAGAGCAGCATGAGCAGCTGGCCCGCGCCCGCCCCCCCCAGGTACACCGTGTCCCCCACAGCGAGGGCGAGCGAGATGAAGGTGAGTGGGCGCAGGTCCACCCCCGCATCCACGAGGGCGGAGAAGGCTGCGAAGAGCGCGATAGGGAGCAGTGGAGACGACATGCCCCACTTCTGGGGGGCTAGGTTCTTGGCTGGGGGAAGGGGGAAGAAGGGGACGATGGAACAGAAGAAGGGAGAGTGCTGGGTTGACGGGGAGAAGGGTGAGAGGAGTGTAGGAAAAGCGCGGAGGGGGCAGGCTTGCGAGTCAAGGTAGAAGGCGATAGGGCAGGAGGGAGGCATGTGCACGAACCTTCGAGGCCCGACCGGTCTTTGAGCACCTTGGGAGTGACGACCCGCGGCACGCCCTCCAATACTGTGGCGCCACGTGTGGGGACAAGGCGGGAGCAATGTGAGTGGGCACGAGCGAGAAAGAAAAGAGGGCATTAGGAAAGCGTGGTGGCAGTGGCAGCGCGGGCCAGCAAGAACCGGCTGGAGGCACCGCTGTCAGCACACCTCACTGCACTCATCTCTCCCCTCCCGTCGCTCTCTGTCCCCACCGCCGCCACGCACTGCTGTTTTGGAAGCGGCCAAAGTTCCTGAGGAGCCCCTGGGAGCGCAGCCACTCGTACGTCTGCCCCACCACGCGCAGGTCGCTCTCCGCCTTCCCCACCTCCAGCAGCTGCAGCCACCGCCGCTGCCGCTCCGCCTCCTCCTCCGCCTCCTCCCCCCGCACTTCCCGCTTGCCTGCAGGCCCCCCTTCGATCTGCGCCTGCCCCGGTCCCCCAGCAGACACTATCCCCGCGGTCTCCGCGGGTAAATCCAGGAATTCGGCGGATTTTGGGGCGGTTTCGTCTGTCGTCTTCTGCGGGGCTAAAGCGGTAGCGATGGACAACGCACGTGGGAGGTCTTTGTCGTGTAGCGCCATGTCATACTCCAGCCACGTGGGACGGGGCTCGATTGGCGGAGTTGTGGGGGAAGGGGCGGCGGAGGGAAGCGGGGATTCCGGCAGCGTCTCCGCTTGCGCTTCAGGGGGGGAGTCTAGCGACGATCGCGGCGAGAATTCCGCGTGTCTGTGTCTATCAGAAAATGAGCGCCTAATTAAAAGGGGCCGGCCATTGCGGGTGTGTGAAGAGGAGAGGGGCAAGGCGGGTCCCCCTCTCACGCAACTTCCGCGCGCAGGTAAGGGGCATTTGGCAGGAAGGCTATGGGGGAGACATGCGCGCGAAGGGGATGCGGCGCAGGGGAGTTGCGCGCGGAGCGATGGGGCCATTGGGTCGAATGGCGGTGACGCGGTAAACGAGGCGCTTGGAAGAATGTGCGCGACGCGCGTGGGTCGGAACGGAATGATGCGCGCGACACGCTACAGGTATGGCGTGGGTGAGAACGAGTGCAACGACGGGCGAGTCGGAATAGGGGAGGCGAAGGGAGCAAACACGGACCCGAGGGAATGTGGAAGGAATTTCAGGCGAGCTGCATTGTACGCGTTATCAATCTTTCCACCGGAACATTCTAGCATCACATCGCCCAAACAAACACGAAATTGCTTCTTCCCCAGCTTTTTGGAAGTCATTCTGAAATTGTCAGGGATTGCGAGGTGAGAAGGTACAGTGCGAACAGGCCCATTGCTCCAGAAACAGACTTCGCCATTTCGCAAAAATACATTTGCGAAGCTGTGCCACCCACACACCCAGGGACTAGAACTGCCCTACTTGGGGACAACTTCATCTGCAATCTAATTAAGCCAGCGCGGTTCGCGAATGCGATCCCTAACAGTCCGCCTGGAAGAAGCTGATGGGTCGTAATCTGCCCGCGGTCAGAAAAACATAAACCCCTAATGGGTGGCATGCGATTAGGGGAGCCCCAACCCTAAACACGGGCAGCCACGTCGTTCTGCCCGAAAAGATTGCATTTGCAAACCCGCACTGGGAAAATGAGATCGCAGTTCGAATTGTCCGGGCCTACTTGTCCACTGGTGTTCCCAGACCAGCCTTTCTTTCACCACAATTACACCAGATTTAGGGTTCTCCGCGAAGGGTTTTGCTGGTTTAGTCGAGCATATCAACCACTCGCTCTGACCTGATCGCTCCAATCCCAAGTCGTGCAAGGTTCACGAATAAGCTCCTCACCACCTTGCATTACGCGTGCTTAGGAGTTACGATGGCATCGGTTAAGGCGCACAGTAGCAGATCTCGCAGACCCCGCCTGATCGCCTTCAATGCCGACGGCTCCCGTCTCGCCACGTGTATGGCGGACAACCGTCTCAAGGTCTGGGACGCTGTTGCCGGCAGGCTGGTCGTCGAGTGTGCTGACGTGGCGAACCGGGTGTCAGCAGACGGGGACATTCTCCCTCTCGGCGCAGACGCGGGGGAGGGCGAGCGCGGACACCTGGAGCTGCGCTACTCGTGCATGACGTGGGCGGAGCGCGCGCGGGGTTCGGGGGAGGGGAAGGCGGGGAAGGCGGGGAAGAAAGGCAAGGGCGCGGCTGGCGCGCAGGCAGACGCGCTAGTGGTGCTTGGCACGGCGTATGGTGACGTCATCGCGTGGGACGTGGCGATGGGCGCCGTGGCATGGCGCCAGGCCTCCGTAGATCCCGCCGGCATCGTCTCGCTCGCCTTCCTCCCCGCCACCGCCGCCGCGCCGCCCATCGTGTTCGCGGCCGGCACGGACGGCTACATCAACGAGCTGAGCGCGGCGGACGGCGCGGTGCTGTCGCGGTTCCGCGCGTCCAAATCGCCCGTCTCGAGCATAGCGGTGAGGGCGGGGGCTGAGGGGGGCGGGCCGCCGCTGCTCATGGTGGGCAGCTCGCAGCTGACTCTTTTCGATGCGGGCAGCAAGGAAAAGATTCGCAAGTTTTCCGGGCACCCGGAAAAGGTTTCCTCGATTGCGTTCTCGCCGTCTACGAGCTTCGCTTTCAGCGCCGCGGAAGGCGACAGACACGTGGCCGTGTGGAATTTCTCCGCGGATTTCGAGAAGCGCAAGGCGTTCGCCGTGCTGTCGCTGCCCGAGCCGCCCGAATTCGTGGCCTGCGCGAAGGGGGGAGGCGGCAGCGATTCGGGGTTTCGGGTTTTGGCGCTGACAACGGAGGGCGAGGCGTACGTATGGGCGGGGCCAACAATCCTTGCGCTTGCGCGCTCGCAGCCTGTGGTGGTGAAGGGGGAGCGCATAGTGAAAGGCGCGGGGCAGGGTCAGGTGCGGCAGGGGCAGAAGGGGAGAGAGGCGATACTGGCAGCGCACCTGCCGGAATACGCCTCGGGATCGCCGATGCTTGTAGCGCGTGGCATTCTAGCGAGGCCGCAGTTCGAGAACGTTAGCTTGGACGAGGCGCAGGAGGGCAACGAGGGCGAGCCGCGTGTCGTTCTGCTGAGCGCGCCCGAGGCGACGGATTTGCTGCCCGCGGGGGGAACGAGGGTTCGGGCGGACGGGGGGGAGGGGCACGGGGAGGTGGAGGAGCAGGCGGAAGGCGTTGCGCGCGGCAAGGCGGGTAAAAAGGGGGGAAAGAAGGGGAGAGCTGGGGAGGCGGAAGACACAGGCGGAGTGCAGGTGGTGGGGGGCATGCCCATGCAGGCGCCCGTGCTGCGCGCGAGCCTCGCGGAGGCGGATGGGGACGGGGAGGGGAAGAAGGAGCGAAAAAAAAAGAACAAGCGCAAGGCAGCAGAGGAGCAGGAGGCGGCGCTGCTTCCCGCCACAGGCGCTGGTGCTGATGCCGCTTTAGTTGGGCCAGGCGAGGCGATGGAGGGCGTGAGCGGGGGGGTGGAGAAGACAATAGAGGAGCAGCTTAAGGAGCTCGGCATCTCCCCCTCCGGCCACTCCCTCGCCCCCACCACCGCCAAAAAGCCCCACTCCTCCGCACTGGTACCCAGCAAGGGGGGGGCGCGCGCAGAGACAATGGAGGTGCTCGCGGCGCCACGGGCGGAGTCTCTATCAGTGGTGGTGCAGCAGGCGCTGGAAGCGGGCGACATGCCGCTGCTGCGCCAGTGCTTCGAGGCCGCCATGACCGTCCGCCGCCGCGCGCTCATCCTCCCCACAGTGCGCCACCTGCCCCCGCACCTGGCGCTCAAGCTGGTGGAGGTGGTGGCGGCGCGTGTGCAGGAGCACCCGGGGGAGGCGCTATCCATGGTGCCGTGGATGCAGGCCGCGCTGACGTGTCATGCTGGCATGCTGGCGTCGGCGCCTGCAGCGCACAAGGCGCTGGCAGCGCTATATCAGACGGTGGAGGCGCGCGTTGCTGCGCTGCGACCCATGCTGGAGCTGGCGGGGCGGCTGCAGCTGGTGGTGATGGCTGTGAGGGAGACGCGCGGGGACGAGGGGGCGCGTGGGGAGGGGGTTGCGGGGGGGAGGGGTAGCGGGGGGTATGAGAGGGAGGGGGCGGGTGGAGGAGTGCGGGCGGCGACGGTGTATGAGGAGGGGGATGATAGCGATGTGGAGGTGGAGGATGCGACTGGGGTGGAGGAGGGGTTGTTTGGGGCTGAGGGATGGGTGGATGAGGAGGAGGATGAGGATGAGGAGGGGAGTGAGGAGGAGTATGAGGAGGAAGAGGAGAGGTTTGTGGAGGATGAGGAGGGGGATTTGATGGAGGGGGATGAGGACGAGGGTGAGGAGGATGAGTAGTGAGGGATGTGTCTATAGCTACCTCAGTGGTATGTGTGGTCTGGTGTTCCGCTGCTTTGATGTCATATCACCTACTGCTAATGCATTATTTCTGACACATAGTACTAGCATGATGCCTGTGAGCGAGCGGGTATCTCTTGTTTATCATCACGCGTGATAGTTTTGAGTTGCAACAATGTGAAAAAACCTGGGAGTTGTTCTCAGCTTTCATGTATGGAGAGATTAAGTACAAGTTGGGAAACAGAAGCATGTATGTTCACAAATACTAGGTAGACAGTAGGCTTTACTGCTAGCATCCTCAACCTCCAAGCCCAGTCACACAGGTTTCAAGACGGCAAGCACGCGGTAGATCAAGGCCAACCCATCAGCGTCACAAGAACCCAAGGTTGATGGTGTCCTTTACGACGAGGAAGATACCAGAACCCCAGCAGCGCCAGGAACCCCGATGATGACATGATGCCGCACTCCACATCCACAGCCGGCATGACAGCAAGCACACGATTGTCCTAGGTACATCAAGGCCCGCACATGACGAGTCACAAGAAGCCGAGGTTTATGGTATCCTTAACGATGAGGAAGATGCCAGCACCCAGCAGAGCCAGGAACCCCGACGACATGATGCCGCGCTCCACATCCACGGGGATCTTCTTGCCCCCCCGCACCGCCTCCACCGCCAGCAGCGCCAGGTACCCCCCGTCCAGCGCTGGCAGCGGCAGCAGGTTCACCACCGCCAGATTCAGATTCACTATGGCCGCGAACTGGAACAGCCCCGAGAGGTTTGTGCGAGCAACCTCAGCCCCCACTGCCACAATGGCCACGGGGCCTGACACGCGGTCGGCGGTGTTACCGAAGTTGAAGATGATCTGCTGCAGCCCGTCGACTACGGCGCCCATGAGCCGCCCGAACTCCTTGCCGGCCGCTACTGTGCCGTCCAGGAGGTTATCGGCGCGCTCCTGCTCCTGGTAGGAGTTGGGCGCTAGCTGCACTCCAATGCGCCCGCCTCCGTCCCGGAACGACACGTCTGGCACCACCCTGATGCTCACAACCCGCTTCTCAGCCTCCCCTGACGCTGCTGCTCCTGCCGCACTCACACCTGTTAGCTCCCCTTCCACCCCCCCGCTGAGAGGCGGTGCCTGCACGGATCGGAGCACGTCGAGGGTGATGGGGCGGCCGGGCGAGGCGCGGATGTAGCTGACGAGGTCGGAGACGGCGGTGCTGGACGGCTGTAGCGGTGTGCCATCTGCCGCCACTATGAGGTCGCCTGGCAGCAGCCCTGCGCGCTCGCCCGCTGACCCGTACACCACGTCTGGTATCATCACTCCTGGCTGGTATACCTGCTGGATCAGGCCCACTGTGTTCACCTGAGGGAGGTGGGGAGGGGATGGAGGTAGGAAGTGGTGAATGTGCGTGAGAGAGCAGTGCATTGAAAGGAGGAAGGGAAGGCTGGTGGTGAAGAGCAGACATATGTTGATGGTGGCTGGCAGTGTCATGGGAACATCACGTTAATGCCATGAGGCTCCAGTGTTACTGCAATGCCTATGTCAAAAAGCCCACCATTGCTGTGATGTGATGCTGCAATCCCAGTGCCCATCCCTCTGTCCATAACAAAACCTTCACTGTCACGCCACCACCATGCCACACAGCCCAGCACGCACCTGGGTGAAGAGCAGCGCATAGGCAAAGACGATGTTGGCGATGACCCCAGCGCTGATGACAAACGCGCGGTCAGCGATGGGGCGGTTCTTGAGCAGGTCGGGGTCGTCAGGCGGGTACACCGCCTCCTCACTCGGGTCATCATCCGGGAACCCCACAAACCCGCCCAGCGGGAACGCCCTGAGCGCGTACTCCACGCCCTTCTCGGTGCTGCCGTCCTTGCCCTTGCCCTGGTACTTGGCGAGCACAGGGCCGAAGCCGATGGAGAATTTCGTCACGTGCACGCCCAGGGAGCGCGCGGCGAGGAAGTGGCCCGCCTCGTGCACGGCCACTATGAGCGCCAGCACGCCCACTGCCTGTACGACCGACCCCGGGCCCGACAGGTCGAAGCCGCCTGTGAGCGGCAAGAAGGCAAGGAACGCCGCGGAGAGGAGCGCCGTGGAGGCGGGGAGGAGTGATGGCAAGGCGGACGGTGCAGGCGCTGCTAGGGTGGCGGTGACGGGGAGGGGGGAGGGACGGTGGTTAGGGATGGAGGAAAGGGGGGATTGAGAAGGTTAGGGTAGAAGTTGGGTGAGGATTGAGGAGGAAAGACAAGCGTAAACAGGCTTCTAGTTGCTTATGCTTCGTTGGTGGGAATCAACGGACTGCTTGTGTTTGGCTGCAAGGCAAATGCTTTCATCCTAGTGAACGACGTCAGCGGCACGGCGGTGATGCGCGCACCACAGTTTATCTCACATATGAGCTCAACAACTGGTGCCCGAGTCACCACTAAAAAACTCCGCCTGTCGGCTGCCCTTGGCTCGACAATATATGAATTCCACACAGCACCGATTAGCAGAAGCAAGCGTTCTCACCTGATTCAACGCCGCGCGACTCGGCGATAGAGGTGTCCGCAGTCTCTCCTGCGGTGCTTCCCTCCGGTTCTACTCGCCGCGCCTCTACTCGCCCCTCCTCCGCACTCTCGTGGCTGCTGCTCCCCCTCGACTCCGCGCATACTCGCTGTAGGCCGCTGCGATACGACGCGGGGAACGACGGCCGGGAAACGAAGGCTGACTGTCTACGTGGCAGCAGCGCCAGCGCATGCGCATTTGGCGGCGAGCCCGCTCGCGGTCTTAAGCACGAGAGTGTCTGTACGGGGTAGGGCAATACGGGAGATAGAAGACGCCATGAATGATAAACATCTGAATTCAATAGATTGAGCGAGGCGATAAGGGTTGGTGAAAACTAGGGTTGATTCTTTTGAATTCGTTCCTGCTCCGACTAAGGTTGGATCGCGTATCGCGCACCTGAATTAGCGCATGTTCAACGAGATTCGAGCGTGGAATCCGCAATCCCGTGGAAGCGACTCGGAGAGTCGACATGAACGGCAGGTTTCGGGCGAGTTGGACGCGCAGAGGTGAGAGAAATCGGCAGAACCTCCCACTTGCGCCGACGCAAGACGATTGTGACGGACTGAAACCGGCGTGACGCTGGGAAGAGCTTGGCACGTCGACCTACGAAGCGAAACAGAGAACGGTAAGGGACGAAGTGGCGGTGCTGTCTCGGCGGAGCAAGTGATTGCTCTTCAAGTGTTTCGGTTCAGATACTTGCGGGGACCAAGCTACACAGTCTGGTCTGGGGAATGGCAGGCAGGCAGGTGAAGTGGTGGTGCACAAAGCCTCGGGCATGTCGGTCATCATCACAGATTGAGAGCCTCGTCGACAAGGAGCGCGGGAAACATGGCTCATAACGAACCACGTGGCGCTCTGTACCTTGCTTAACTTCCCTTTAACGCGCGTCAGAGTGTAGCAGCCTAATTCGAACACAGAAGCTGCATTTATCTTTATTGGGCTAATGTGTACATTCGCAGCCAGTACAAGTGTAAATGAGGACAAAGCTTGTAGCTAAGCTGGTTCTCATACTACCAACCTAAGCTACACTAGGAGCTTTGGGACTGTCTCTTTTGCACTACCGAGTCTGAGGATGGGCCATCTTTAATAAGCCCCTCCTCTTCATCCAATTGTGCAGCCTTCCTTGCAGCATCCTTGGACTTCATTTCCTGCTCATTGCCCAACAAACACCAAACAAAGGGTGCCACACACGTCTTAAGACTAAATGTACGGTGCAAAAAACCTCAATGTCTCTTCGATTGATGCACCGGCTTACTTACTTGCAATTTGGAGTGATTATACCAGCACACTCCACCGAACGCCAGAAGATACCCAAACAAGTTTATGGCAGTTACCCTATCCTTGATGACAGACCAGGAGAAGGCAATGAGTAGCCAGTCCTTCACCACCCCTGCAGGGCAAGAGATCCAGCACAGGCCAACAATCAGGCAATTTGACAACAAAACCAGCAGGGGTAACATCTGAACCCCGCAGTATTGGACGACACATGCAACAGCGAGCAACACGTGTACAGACCTGCCACGTTCATGGTGAGCGCTGACGTCTTGCCGATGAGCAGGAAGACAGCGAGGTTGAGGGCGAAGGCGCACACACAGTTGCCCCCAAACACCAGCAGGTCGGGGTGGGGCGCGGCGAGGTGCGGGGCGAGGGAGGGGTACTCAACAAAGAACCAGGGGATGGTGAGGAAGATGAGGCATGTGGGGGACACGTAGTACAGGCTCGTGATGGGGTTCAGGGAGATGCCCTTGGACGCCAACAGGATCTGCAGGGGCGGCGTGGGATGCATGGGGAGAGACGAGCTGAGACTTGCAAAGACATCAGTGGGGCATGGTGCACTGGGGTGACAGAGGCGCTTCAGCGGACCAGGCTATCAGCTGCTTCTTGGGCATTGGCTGTTAGGTCAAGGCACAGGATGAGAGGAGCCCGTGAATGGGTTCTGTGGTAACCAGTAACCACAAGGTAAAGATCAAGCATACAGAGGCGTACTTGGATGAGCACGAGGCGAGTGGCTTCAAAGGCAACGGCGGCGAGCTGCAGGAGGACGCCTGTGAAGTTGAAGTTGGCCTCGCCGTACGCGGCTATGCCCACTCCCACCGACACGAGCAGCATGTTGCTCATGGTGGAGCAGCGGAAGGCGTCCTTCTGAAACGCCACTCCCAGCGTGTACACCGCCACTGGCATCAGCGCCTTCAGCATCTGGTCGTGGGGGCACGGACGGACAGGAGTGGGTTGGGGAGAACGGGGGGGGGGGGGGGGGGGGTGGGCATGGAGAGAGGTGGAGGGACACGGAAGCAGAGGCAGAGGCATGAGGACAAAGAATAAGCAGGATACATGTACGAGTGGGCGAGGACCCCAGATAACAGCACTACGTTTTTCTTGGTGACAAAGGACGGAAGCTCGGGAGGAAAAAGGGAACGAGAGCAGGCAGACGAGCTGTGCTAAGAGATAGGATGGACGCCATTAGGCACGCATTACGGGGCCAACGCCGTGGCAGCAGAGAAGAGCGACAAGCACAGCACACTTTAACCAGGAGTAAGGGGAGAGAGTGGCACCTGGATGAAGGAGACGGAGAGGTAGATGTAGGCGGAGTTGGAGAACCAGAGGCTCATGGCGTAGAGCGCGCCGATGGGCAGCACGGACGAGACGTACATCTCGAGGCTCATGGCCACCGGCTCCACCACGCGCACCACGCGCACCAGCACGAACGCCAGCGACGAGCAGAACGCCATGTGGATCATCGTCAGACTGGATGGGGGCGCGGCAGGCGGGATAGGGAGGGGGAGAAGCGGGAGGAAGGGGAAGAGAAGGGGAGTCCAAAACGGCGCTTACGCGGGGAGGTGAGTAGAGCAGAAGGTAGACGCGCAAAACATGGAGATGTGGACGTTCTGTTAGATTTCGACGTGGATCACGAGGCAGCTTCCAGAAGCTCACCTAATGGGATACGGCCAGTTGTACATCTTCCTGTCCAGGATGTACTTATTGAAAATAATGACGGAGAAGCTTAAAACGATCCATATCGCCACGTAAAAGTAGCTCAATATAATTCTCCGCAACAAAGGACTAAGGAACGCCATGGCGCGATTAGTTTGAGAAGTGAAGGTAACGAAACACGAAACAGCACCAGGTAATAGAGCGATGCTAGAGCAATAGAGCTTGCTCGCGATGTCCTGATTTCAGTGCGATTTGGCTTGCTGAGTGACGGCAGGCAGAATCTAGCAATCGCTGTCACTGGGTCTCTAAGACCGTTTGGGACTTGCTACTCGTGCAAGGAAATGCTGGAACGGGGTTCTCTGCATTGCTCCTTGATTCGTCAGCTGCTGTGAACCTCACAAGCAACCTCGGCAATTCCAAACAGCTCATGGAAATCTTCGAATGGCCATGCTCAGCTGCCGGCGCGTGTCACGGCGTGAATAGACAGCCGACAAACAGGACCTGGCTGTCAAAAGTGTCCTGCTAATCTCTAGAGAGCCGTGACAGTGCCTGCCTGGTATTAGGGCGGGTCCAGCGCGTACGTTTGCAGGTCCTATACGGTTTATTCGTCGTGGTTTCAAATTTTATCAGGCGGTGCACAGCGGTTCTGAAATTGCACCTTTTTAAACCGTAACGGAATACAGATTACCGCACTGGATGTACGCGCTGGACCCGCCCTTAGAGGAATATTGGAATCACTGTATTCTTATATGCTATCACTACCCATGCACTGTACGTTGTGAGATTGAGAACCCTTATGTAACCAGGTATTACGAAAGTCCTGAGACACATCAAAACAGGCATTCGTCTCAGTGGCATTCTGAAGTGCTGGCATTCATCATCAGGGAAGCTCAGGGAAAACATTTGCGAACAGATCGTCGAACTGCACGAACAACTCCCGCAGCTCGCGTACCGCCAAGGAAACTTGACGGCCAACATTTATATGTGATCCACGATCCTTTCAGAAGCAGAGTTCTTCCGCTGAAGCAAGGAGTCATGTCGCTATCTTTCCCAACTATTGCCTGAGATAAGGCCCGATAACATACCCTGACCATTTGCAGTATACGGCGTTAGTGTCCCTGTTACTTCTTGATCATCTAGAGACTAAGCAAGGTTCACGCGGTTACGGCGGAGTCTTGCTTCCGTCTGACCATTAGCCATCATGAATCCCCTAACGCAGATCAAGAACACTCAGAAAATAACAGCGCGAGAGACTGCTAGAGGAGTGTCGGACGAAGCGTCATGGCACGCCAAGTACAAGGAGTCCGCGTACGTTTACGTTGGCGGCCTTCCGTACGACCTCACTGAGGGCGACCTCCTTGCGGTCTTTGCCCAGTAAGACTCACCCATAGTTTCCAATGTTCGCAAAGAGGTGTCATGGTTCCGTGTGCACGACTCGCTGTAGTGCACTGTAAAAAGTTGCGCTGCTCCATTCTTTATAGACGTCAAGCTTCCTCGACTAGCTGCCTTTTTTCTCACTTTCCCAGTCCGCTCTCCTTCTCATTCTTTCCTCTTCCCTTACCGTCCCTTCCCACGTGGCTAGGTACGGTGAAATAATGGATGTGAATCTGGTGCGGGACAAGTCCACCGGCAAGTCCAAGGGCTTCGCGTTTCTGGCGTACGAGGACCAGCGCAGCACCATCCTCGCTGTAGGTGCGTTCCTTCGTATGTTGGGCCTGGGTGTATCCTGTTGATGCCTTAGCGTGACCACCTCGGATCAAATACATCAGCAATTCAGCTATGATCACTAAGAGAGTTTCTACTGGACTTGAACGGTTCCTGCCAAATCCGCCCCCCCCTCACTCCGCCATCCCAACCGCCTCCTTCCACCCTTTCTCTCGCTCTTCCCTCCTCCCGCTGTGCAGACAACCTGAACGGCGCTAAGGTTGCGGGGCGGATAGTAAAGGTGGACCATGTGGCGGACTACAAGAGGATAGCCAAGGAGGATGAGGAGGAGCGGGAGAAGCGCCGGGAGGAGAACGGAGTCTGCTATGCGTTCCAAAGAGGGGAGTGCACACGAGGGGACAACTGCCGATTTTCTCATGATGCCCAGGTAGAGTTCGCCTGAATATCAGAAAGTCTCTCACTTGGTGCTCTCAAACTAGGGCCCGATTCAATCCCAAACGATGTTTGGCGTTCCTTCGTTCTGTCTTCCCCACCACCAGAGAAACGCTGACACGGGATGGGGCGGGAAGGAGGACACGGTACGGGGAACAGAGAGCCGCAGCAGGGCGAATTTCGAGCAGCGCGAAGAGCGAGAGAATGGTGGGAGAGGCGGTGGTGGGAGGCCAGACGGGGGAAGAGAGGAGGAGGGGAGGGAGAGAAATGGGGAGGGTGGCGATGATAGAACCCAGAGATGGGCGCAAGAGGAAGTTCCTGGGCGGAGAGGGCAATTTGAGGAGGTGAAGGGCGGAGGGGAAGGTGTCAGGGGGAGAGAAGGTGATAGGAGAGAGGAGGGAAGGCACAAGGCGCGACAGACTGGGAAGGGAGAACGTGAGAGGAAGGATGGGCATGCGTCAAGGAAGAGTGTGATCGAGCAAGAGGGGTTTAAGAATGAAGCGAATGAGGGGAGAGATGACAGGCTGAGAGGAGAGGAGGATGAAGGCAGGGGTAAGGATGAGTGGAGGAAGGTCAGAAGCAGGGAAGGTGGTGAGAGGCATGGGAAGCGGGAAGAGAGGGGTAAGGATGATCTAGAAGAGAGGAGAGGTGCAGGACGGCAGTTGGAGGAAAAACTACTGAGGTTCAAGGGCAGTGATGACAAGCACAAGCGGCGAAGGGAGGAGGATGAGGAAGAGAGGCCAAAGCGCAAGAGTGATGAAGACAGAAGGCAGAGGAAAAGGGATGAGGATTGTCGTAGGTGACTGGGATGCACTGATTGTGGCAGGGCACCAGTGACCTGTCTCCCTTGTGGTCAACCTGGTGACTACAAAGGTCACCATCTCCAAAGGTTATTCGATCTGCTGTTCATAACGTGACATAACCTGCAGCTTTTGTTGCATGCAGGGCAGGTTCTTGCCCCTACACTTCGTCCGTTTCCCCAAGTCAAACTCATAGGCATTCAAATGTCAGCAGCCACTGCCATGGAGTCCAAAAATGAAGCACCACCCCAACCAGATGCAATGTAGGCATCAAGATTCAAGACATACGGAAGGACGGCAATAGACATCCAACACCAGTGTGAGCCAGCACTGCAAGCCACCAGTTGACAAGGCAGCAGCATGTCGCAACGCTATATCATCTTCTTATCCCCGACAGCTCCGGGCAGCTCTTAACCAAAGCACTGTTCCCCGGGCACGGGCGGCGGAATGTAGCCGTAGTCCAGCAGCTGCAGCCCGAACACCACCACGGCCGCCAGCAGCGTCAGGTACGCCAGCCCCTCCGCCGCCCCCAGCAGCCCGTAGGGGCCGTTGGGCAGCCCCTTGCCGGTGGAGGCCTTGGTGTACGCGGACCACCCCACGAGCCCCACTATCGCCAGGTACGCCACTCCCTCCAGCGCGCCCAAACTGCCGCCTGGCCCCGGGGGCAGCCCGCAGCCTGCAGGGAGAAGGAAGGGTTTTGTTAAAAGCGCGAGTGGACGGGGTCAGTGACTTTGCGAAGTTGTGTGGAGTGGGCACGGAGAAAATTAAGGAAGGCAGCAGGCCGTTGGAGTCGCATGGGAGGCGAAGTTGGGTATCGTTATCGCGCATGTCAACGGGATGGCGGTAATGGGGGCAATGTCAGAGTAGCGGCGGCGGAAGTGGCGGGAACGGTGGCGCTCACCGGTGGTCTTGAGGGTGAAGAGCGACCACGCAACCACGGGAACGGAAATCAGCCCGCTCACAGCCCCCACGATCTCCGCCGTGCTGCTCCCCTCATCGCTCGCCTTCGCGCGAACAAGCGTGCGTTGAACGCGGGGAAGAGCGCGCGAAGCAGTGATTCGCGCATGGAGCGCGGGGGTTACGCGGGTGCGCGCGGAGGAAAGGGCCGCGGGGATGGTAGCCGTTGAGCGCAGGGGGAGCGCAACAGCCGCTGAGGTGAGCATTGCGGTAGCCATGGTGAAAATGTGGAACAGCTTTCCATCGCCGCAGACGAAGTTTCTTTTGTAAATAAAATCAGTTGTTGTAGCTACAATATGAAATCAGCTCTCGTAGCTCAGTTGGTTAGAGCGTATGGCTGTTAACCATAAGGTCGGTGGTTCAAGCCCACCTGGGAGCGGCGTTTTGCTTCAGCTGGACCTGTTGATGGACGTTTTGTTTTGTTCCAATTTCTCAGTACACTTGTCTGTGTTCCCTCATCCCCTCCACTCCACTTGAAGGCATCTCTCTCGTTTCCTCCCGCTTTTTTTTCTCGTGCCCCTCACGATACCTTGGCCTCGATCCGCCTGCTTCGACACTGATCGGAAGCTCAACGCGAGGCGGTAGGCCAATGTTTGCGGGAAACGACTAGCCTGGACTCCAACGACTGAACGACCAATTCGTAACCTGGGGGTTGTTTTTCTGGGAGTAGATCGAGTGATTTTGTGGGCGTATAGGTAAACGGCAGCAGCACGCGATGACGACGCGGATCACGCCGGGGGTGGGCGCGAACCTGATCGGGCAGCACGCGCAGGAGCGCAACCAAGATGCCACGGCCTATGTCGGCAACCTCGACCCGCAGGTGCGTTGCGCTCCTGTGCCTCGCAGCGCGCTTAGTGCTGTCCGTGCGCTAATAACACTCGGTTGCATCCGCGTGGTTGTGGGTCCTCGTCGCCGCTATGTCATGCATTGGCCTCAGCCATCCCGCGTTTGCTTACGGCAAAACCTCCCTGCAGCCCCCACTCTGTTCATTCTTTACCTACCCCTTTACCTACCCCTTTACCTACCCCTTTACCTACCCTCCCCCTCTCCTGTCCCCCTTGTTCATTTCCCCCTGTGCCCTTGTCCCCTCCACGCTCCCCCACGTTCTCCGCTGTGTCCGTTGTCCCCCCTCACGCTCACCATTTCCCCCATGCCCCACCCCTTTTCCCCCTGTGCTCAATGCGACCCCCGTTTCCCTGTGTGTCCCTGATCCCCCATGCTCCGCCTCTTCCTCCTGTGCCCTTTTCCCCCCTCATTCACCCCTGTGCCCTTTGGACCTCCCCGTGCCTTCCCTCTTTCTCACCTGTGTGTGCCCCTTTCCCCCCGTGATGCTTTTTTTCCCCTGTGCCCCTTTCCACCCATACCTCCTCCCCCTTTTCCCCTCTGGGCCCCTGTCCCCCTATCGCTCCGCCGCGCGCCACGCCCCACGAGCGCAGATGTCGGAGGAGCTTATCTGGGAGCTCTTCGTGCAGGCGGGGCCCGTCGGTGAGCCACGGGGCTGGAAGGGGGGTTGCAGGGGGAGTTGTGGACGGGCTGGGGGCCGTTGGGAGGCGCATGGAAAGGTCAAGAATGGAAAGGGGTTGAGAATGGGATGGTCAAGAATGGGATGGTGTTATTCCATCCCAATGTAGCACGCATTATGCCGCTCCTCCTCTTCCTGATCCCGTTTCTTTTCATGCCGACCTCTGCTCCTCACTTTTCTCTGTGTATCCCCGCCACCTTTTTCTTGGAGCTGCAGTCCCGGGTGCGGGACTGGAGCTGCAGTCCCAGGTGCGGGACTGGAGCTGCAGTCCCAGGTGCGGGACTGGAGCTGCAGTCCCAGGTGCGGGACTGGAGCTGCAGTCCCAGGTGCGGGACTGGAGCTGCAGTCCCAGGTGCGGGACTGGAGCTGCAGTCCCAGGTGCGGGACTGGAGCTGCAGTCCCAGGTGCGGGACTGGAGCTGCAGTCCCAGGTGCGGGACTGGAGCTGCAGTCCCAGGCGCGGGACTGGAGCTGCAGTCCCAGGTGCGGGACTGGAGCTGCAGTCCCAGGTGCGGGACTGGAGCTGCAGTCCCAGGTGCGGGACTGGAGCTGCAGTCCCAGGTGCGGGACTGGAGCTGCAGTCCCAGGTGCGGGACTGGAGCTGCAGTCCCAGGTGCGGGACTGGAGCTGCAGTCCCAGGTGCGGGACTGGAGCTGCAGTCCCAGGTGCGGGACTGGAGCTGCAGTCCCAGGTGCGGGACTGGAGCTGCAGTCCCAGGTGCGGGACTGGAGCTGCAGTCCCAGGTGCGGGACTGGAGCTGCAGTCCCAGGCGCGGGACTGGAGCTGCAGTCCCAGGTGCGGGACTGGAGCTGCAGTCCCAGGTGCGGGACTGGAGCTGCAGTCCCAGGTGCGGGACTGGAGCTGCAGTCCCAGGTGCGGGACTGGAGCTGCAGTCCCAGGTGCGGGACTGGAGCTGCAGTCCCAGGTGCGGGACTGGAGCTGCAGTCCCAGGTGCGGGACTGGAGCTGCAGTCCCAGGTGCGGGACTGGAGCTGCAGTCCCAGGTGCGGGACTGGAGCTGCAGTCCCAGGTGCGGGACTGGAGCTGCAGTCCCAGGTGCGGGACTGGAGCTGCAGTCCCAGGTGCGGGACTGGAGCTGCAGTCCCAGGTGCGGGACTGGAGCTGCAGTCCCAGGTGCGGGACTGGAGCTGCAGTCCCAGGTGCGGGACTGGAGCTGCAGTCCCAGGTGCGGGACTGGAGCTGCAGTCCCAGGTGCGGGACTGGAGCTGCAGTCCCAGGTGCGGGACTGGAGCTGCAGTCCCAGGTGCGGGACTGGAGCTGCAGTCCCAGGTGCGGGACTGGAGCTGCAGTCCCAGGTGCGGGACTGGAGCTGCAGTCCCAGGTGCGGGACTGGAGCTGCAGTCCCAGGTGCGGGACTGGAGCTGCAGTCCCAGGTGCGGGACTGGAGCTGCAGTCCCAGGTGCGGGACTGGAGCTGCAGTCCCAGGTGCGGGACTGGAGCTGCAGTCCCAGGTGCGGGACTGGAGCTGCAGTCCCAGGTGCGGGACTGGAGCTGCAGTCCCAGGTGCGGGACTGGAGCTGCAGTCCCAGGTGCGGGACTGGAGCTGCAGTCCCAGGTGCGGGACTGGAGCTGCAGTCCCAGGTGCGGGACTGGAGCTGCAGTCCCAGGTGCGGGACTGGAGCTGCAGTCCCAGGTGCGGGACTGGAGCTGCAGTCCCAGGTGCGGGACTGGAGCTGCAGTCCCAGGTGCGGGACTGGAGCTGCAGTCCCAGGTGCGGGACTGGAGCTGCAGTCCCAGGTGCGGGACTGGAGCTGCAGTCCCAGGTGCGGGACTGGAGCTGCAGTCCCAGGTGCGGGACTGGAGCTGCAGTCCCAGGTGCGGGACTGGAGCTGCAGTCCCAGGTGCGGGACTGGAGCTGCAGTCCCAGGTGCGGGACTGGAGCTGCAGTCCCAGGTGCGGGACTGGAGCTGCAGTCCCAGGTGCGGGACTGGAGCTGCAGTCCCAGGCGCGGGACTGGAGCTGCAGTCCCAGGCGCGGGACTGGAGCTGCAGTCCCAGGTGCGGGACTGGAGCTGCAGTCCAGGTGCGGGACTGGAGCTGCAGTCCCAGGTGCGGGACTGGAGCTGCAGTCCCAGGTGCGGGACTGGAGCTGCAGTCCCAGGTGCGGGACTGGAGCTGCAGTCCCAGGTGCGGGACTGGAGCTGCAGTCCCAGGTGCGGGACTGGAGCTGCAGTCCCAGGTGCGGGACTGGAGCTGCAGTCCCAGGTGCGGGACTGGAGCTGCAGTCCCAGGTGCGGGACTGGAGCTGCAGTCCCAGGTGCGGGACTGGAGCTGCAGTCCCAGGTGCGGGACTGGAGCTGCAGTCCCAGGTGCGGGACTGGAGCTGCAGTCCCAGGTGCGGGACTGGAGCTGCAGTCCCAGGTGCGGGACTGGAGCTGCAGTCCCAGGTGCGGGACTGGAGCTGCAGTCCCAGGTGCGGGACTGGAGCTGCAGTCCCAGGTGCGGGACTGGAGCTGCAGTCCCAGGTGCGGGACTGGAGCTGCAGTCCCAGGTGCGGGACTGGAGCTGCAGTCCCAGGTGCGGGACTGGAGCTGCAGTCCCAGGTGCGGGACTGGAGCTGCAGTCCCAGGTGCGGGACTGGAGCTGCAGTCCCAGGTGCGGGACTGGAGCTGCAGTCCCAGGTGCGGGACTGGAGCTGCAGTCCCAGGTGCGGGACTGGAGCTGCAGTCCCAGGTGCGGGACTGGAGCTGCAGTCCCAGGTGCGGGACTGGAGCTGCAGTCCCAGGTGCGGGACTGGAGCTGCAGTCCCAGGTGCGGGACTGGAGCTGCAGTCCCAGGTGCGGGACTGGAGCTGCAGTCCCAGGTGCGGGACTGGAGCTGCAGTCCCAGGTGCGGGACTGGAGCTGCAGTCCCAGGTGCGGGACTGGAGCTGCAGTCCCAGGTGCGGGACTGGAGCTGCAGTCCCAGGTGCGGGACTGGAGCTGCAGTCCCAGGTGCGGGACTGGAGCTGCAGTCCCAGGTGCGGGACTGGAGCTGCAGTCCCAGGTGCGGGACTGGAGCTGCAGTCCCAGGTGCGGGACTGGAGCTGCAGTCCCAGGTGCGGGACTGGAGCTGCAGTCCCAGGTGCGGGACTGGAGCTGCAGTCCCAGGTGCGGGACTGGAGCTGCAGTCCCAGGTGCGGGACTGGAGCTGCAGTCCCAGGTGCGGGACTGGAGCTGCAGTCCCAGGTGCGGGACTGGAGCTGCAGTCCCAGGTGCGGGACTGGAGCCTTAGTGGGAATATACGCGTATAGCGTATATATGCTTATCGTATATACGCTAACGTATATACGCTAAACGCTGAAGGTTCGGCTTTGGGAATCCGCTTTTCGGGCAGGAAAAAAAATTCCCGGGCAGGGTGAAAAACAATGTCGTGCTCAACATCGGGAAGGTATTCCATATTCTCACTAAGAATTTCGTAGCATTCTCCTAAGTCTGAACTTCGATTAGGGTGGGATGTGTAGTAGACACTATCGCTAGAAGGAAAAGTAGGAATCGGGATGAGCTCTGTTGGGAAGCGGGAAATGTCAAGTGCAGTTGGGCTGGCTGGTTAGTAGTGTGAGTGGGGTTTGTTGGGGGGACGTTTTTGACAGGTTGGAGTTCGTAGATGGGATGGATTTCAATGCGGTACTAAACAAAATTGTAGATCTGAACTGCCAGATGCAATTGTAAGGCACATTCCCGCTTCCCTACAACCCTGAATTGCACCTCGACTTCCGCGAAATGCTCACCAGGAGATTCCGCATCTTTCCGTATACACATGATTTTTTTTCCCGGGCAGCCCCTAAATAAATCTGAAAGCGTATAGCGTATTAGCTAGCGTATAGCGTTTTGCGTATGAACGCAAGCGTATATACGCTATACGCTTTAGGTTCTGAGCGTATATTCCCACTAAGACTGGAGCTGCAGTCCCAGGTGCGGGACTGGAGCTGCAGTCCCAGGTGCGGGACTGGAGCTGCAGTCCCAGGTGCGGGACTGGAGCTGCAGTCCCAGGTGCGGGACTGGAGCTGCAGTCCCAGGTGCGGGACTGGAGCTGCAGTCCCAGGTGCGGGACTGGAGCTGCAGTCCCAGGCGCGGGACTGGAGCTGCAGTCCCAGGTGCGGGACTGGAGCTGCAGTCCCAGGTGCGGGACTGGAGCTGCAGTCCCAGGTGCGGGACTGGAGCTGCAGTCCCAGGTGCGGGACTGGAGCTGCAGTCCCAGGTGCGGGACTGGAGCTGCAGTCCCAGGTGCGGGACTGGAGCTGCAGTCCCAGGTGCGGGACTGGAGCTGCAGTCCCAGGTGCGGGACTGGAGCTGCAGTCCCAGGTGCGGGACTGGAGCTGCAGTCCCAGGCGCGGGACTGGAGCTGCAGTCCCAGGTGCGGGACTGGAGCTGCAGTCCCAGGTGCGGGACTGGAGCTGCAGTCCCAGGTGCGGGACTGGAGCTGCAGTCCCAGGTGCGGGACTGGAGCTGCAGTCCCAGGTGCGGGACTGGAGCTGCAGTCCCAGGTGCGGGACTGGAGCTGCAGTCCCAGGTGCGGGACTGGAGCTGCAGTCCCAGGTGCGGGACTGGAGCTGCAGTCCCAGGTGCGGGACTGGAGCTGCAGTCCCAGGTGCGGGACTGGAGCTGCAGTCCCAGGTGCGGGACTGGAGCTGCAGTCCCAGGTGCGGGACTGGAGCTGCAGTCCCAGGTGCGGGACTGGAGCTGCAGTCCCAGGTGCGGGACTGGAGCTGCAGTCCCAGGTGCGGGACTGGAGCTGCAGTCCCAGGTGCGGGACTGGAGCTGCAGTCCCAGGTGCGGGACTGGAGCTGCAGTCCCAGGTGCGGGACTGGAGCTGCAGTCCCAGGTGCGGGACTGGAGCTGCAGTCCCAGGTGCGGGACTGGAGCTGCAGTCCCAGGTGCGGGACTGGAGCTGCAGTCCCAGGTGCGGGACTGGAGCTGCAGTCCCAGGTGCGGGACTGGAGCTGCAGTCCCAGGTGCGGGACTGGAGCTGCAGTCCCAGGTGCGGGACTGGAGCTGCAGTCCCAGGTGCGGGACTGGAGCTGCAGTCCCAGGTGCGGGACTGGAGCTGCAGTCCCAGGTGCGGGACTGGAGCTGCAGTCCCAGGTGCGGGACTGGAGCTGCAGTCCCAGGTGCGGGACTGGAGCTGCAGTCCCAGGTGCGGGACTGGAGCTGCAGTCCCAGGTGCGGGACTGGAGCTGCAGTCCCAGGTGCGGGACTGGAGCTGCAGTCCCAGGCGCGGGACTGGAGCTGCAGTCCCAGGTGCGGGACTGGAGCTGCAGTCCCAGGTGCGGGACTGGAGCTGCAGTCCCAGGTGCGGGACTGGAGCTGCAGTCCCAGGTGCGGGACTGGAGCTGCAGTCCCAGGTGCGGGACTGGAGCTGCAGTCCCAGGTGCGGGACTGGAGCTGCAGTCCCAGGCGCGGGACTGGAGCTGCAGTCCCAGGTGCGGGACTGGAGCTGCAGTCCCAGGTGCGGGACTGGAGCTGCAGTCCCAGGTGCGGGACTGGAGCTGCAGTCCCAGGTGCGGGACTGGAGCTGCAGTCCCAGGTGCGGGACTGGAGCTGCAGTCCCAGGTGCGGGACTGGAGCTGCAGTCCCAGGTGCGGGACTGGAGCTGCAGTCCCAGGTGCGGGACTGGAGCTGCAGTCCCAGGTGCGGGACTGGAGCTGCAGTCCCAGGTGCGGGACTGGAGCTGCAGTCCCAGGTGCGGGACTGGAGCTGCAGTCCCAGGTGCGGGACTGGAGCTGCAGTCCCAGGTGCGGGACTGGAGCTGCAGTCCCAGGTGCGGGACTGGAGCTGCAGTCCCAGGCTGCGGGACTGGAGCTGCAGTCCCAGGTGCGGGACTGGAGCTGCAGTCCCAGGTGCGGGACTGGAGCTGCAGTCCCAGGTGCGGGACTGGAGCTGCAGTCCCAGGTGCGGGACTGGAGCTGCAGTCCCAGGTGCGGGACTGGAGCTGCAGTCCCAGGTGCGGGACTGGAGCTGCAGTCCCAGGCGCGGGACTGGAGCTGCAGTCCCAGGTGCGGGACTGGAGCTGCAGTCCCAGGTGCGGGACTGGAGCTGCAGTCCCAGGTGCGGGACTGGAGCTGCAGTCCCAGGTGCGGGACTGGAGCTGCAGTCCCAGGTGCGGGACTGGAGCTGCAGTCCCAGGTGCGGGACTGGAGCTGCAGTCCCAGGTGCGGGACTGGAGCTGCAGTCCCAGGTGCGGGACTGGAGCTGCAGTCCCAGGTGCGGGACTGGAGCTGCAGTCCCAGGTGCGGGACTGGAGCTGCAGTCCCAGGCGCGGGACTGGAGCTGCAGTCCCAGGTGCGGGACTGGAGCTGCAGTCCCAGGTGCGGGACTGGAGCTGCAGTCCCAGGTGCGGGACTGGAGCTGCAGTCCCAGGTGCGGGACTGGAGCTGCAGTCCCAGGTGCGGGACTGGAGCTGCAGTCCCAGGCGCGGGACTGGAGCTGCAGTCCCAGGTGCGGGACTGGAGCTGCAGTCCCAGGTGCGGGACTGGAGCTGCAGTCCCAGGTGCGGGACTGGAGCTGCAGTCCCAGGCGCGGGACTGGAGCTGCAGTCCCAGGTGCGGGACTGGAGCTGCAGTCCCAGGTGCGGGACTGGAGCTGCAGTCCCAGGTGCGGGACTGGAGCTGCAGTCCCAGGTGCGGGACTGGAGCTGCAGTCCCAGGTGCGGGACTGGAGCTGCAGTCCCAGGCGCGGGACTGGAGCTGCAGTCCCAGGTGCGGGACTGGAGCTGCAGTCCCAGGTGCGGGACTGGAGCTGCAGTCCCAGGTGCGGGACTGGAGCTGCAGTCCCAGGTGCGGGACTGGAGCTGCAGTCCCAGGTGCGGGACTGGAGCTGCAGTCCCAGGCGCGGGACTGGAGCTGCAGTCCCAGGTGCGGGACTGGAGCTGCAGTCCCAGGTGCGGGACTGGAGCTGCAGTCCCAGGTGCGGGACTGGAGCTGCAGTCCCAGGTGCGGGACTGGAGCTGCAGTCCCAGGTGCGGGACTGGAGCTGCAGTCCCAGGTGCGGGACTGGAGCTGCAGTCCCAGGCGCGGGACTGGAGCTGCAGTCCCAGGTGCGGGACTGGAGCTGCAGTCCCAGGTGCGGGACTGGAGCTGCAGTCCCAGGTGCGGGACTGGAGCTGCAGTCCCAGGTGCGGGACTGGAGCTGCAGTCCCAGGTGCGGGACTGGAGCTGCAGTCCCAGGTGCGGGACTGGAGCTGCAGTCCCAGGTGCGGGACTGGAGCTGCAGTCCCAGGTGCGGGACTGGAGCTGCAGTCCCAGGTGCGGGACTGGAGCTGCAGTCCCAGGTGCGGGACTGGAGCTGCAGTCCCAGGTGCGGGACTGGAGCTGCAGTCCCAGGTGCGGGACTGGAGCTGCAGTCCCAGGTGCGGGACTGGAGCTGCAGTCCCAGGTGCGGGACTGGAGCTGCAGTCCCAGGTGCGGGACTGGAGCTGCAGTCCCAGGTGCGGGACTGGAGCTGCAGTCCCAGGTGCGGGACTGGAGCTGCAGTCCCAGGTGCGGGACTGGAGCTGCAGTCCCAGGTGCGGGACTGGAGCTGCAGTCCCAGGTGCGGGACTGGAGCTGCAGTCCCAGGTGCGGGACTGGAGCTGCAGTCCCAGGTGCGGGACTGGAGCTGCAGTCCCAGGTGCGGGACTGGAGCTGCAGTCCCAGGTGCGGGACTGGAGCTGCAGTCCCAGGTGCGGGACTGGAGCTGCAGTCCCAGGTGCGGGACTGGAGCTGCAGTCCCAGGTGCGGGACTGGAGCTGCAGTCCCAGGTGCGGGACTGGAGCTGCAGTCCCAGGTGCGGGACTGGAGCTGCAGTCCCAGGTGCGGGACTGGAGCTGCAGTCCCAGGTGCGGGACTGGAGCTGCAGTCCCAGGTGCGGGACTGGAGCTGCAGTCCCAGGTGCGGGACTGGAGCTGCAGTCCCAGGTGCGGGACTGGAGCTGCAGTCCCAGGTGCGGGACTGGAGCTGCAGTCCCAGGTGCGGGACTGGAGCTGCAGTCCCAGGTGCGGGACTGGAGCTGCAGTCCCAGGTGCGGGACTGGAGCTGCAGTCCCAGGTGCGGGACTGGAGCTGCAGTCCCAGGTGCGGGACTGGAGCTGCAGTCCCAGGTGCGGGACTGGAGCTGCAGTCCCAGGTGCGGGACTGGAGCTGCAGTCCCAGGTGCGGGACTGGAGCTGCAGTCCCAGGTGCGGGACTGGAGCTGCAGTCCCAGGTGCGGGACTGGAGCTGCAGTCCCAGGTGCGGGACTGGAGCTGCAGTCCCAGGTGCGGGACTGGAGCTGCAGTCCCAGGTGCGGGACTGGAGCTGCAGTCCCAGGTGCGGGACTGGAGCTGCAGTCCCAGGTGCGGGACTGGAGCTGCAGTCCCAGGTGCGGGACTGGAGCTGCAGTCCCAGGTGCGGGACTGGAGCTGCAGTCCCAGGTGCGGGACTGGAGCTGCAGTCCCAGGTGCGGGACTGGAGCTGCAGTCCCAGGTGCGGGACTGGAGCTGCAGTCCCAGGTGCGGGACTGGAGCTGCAGTCCCAGGTGCGGGACTGGAGCTGCAGTCCCAGGTGCGGGACTGGAGCTGCAGTCCCAGGTGCGGGACTGGAGCTGCAGTCCCAGGTGCGGGACTGGAGCTGCAGTCCCAGGTGCGGGACTGGAGCTGCAGTCCCAGGTGCGGGACTGGAGCTGCAGTCCCAGGTGCGGGACTGGAGCTGCAGTCCCAGGTGCGGGACTGGAGCTGCAGTCCCAGGTGCGGGACTGGAGCTGCAGTCCCAGGTGCGGGACTGGAGCTGCAGTCCCAGGTGCGGGACTGGAGCTGCAGTCCCAGGTGCGGGACTGGAGCCTTAGTGGGAATATACGCGTATAGCGTATATATGCTTATCGTATATACGCTAACGTATATACGCTAAACGCTGAAGGTTCGGCTTTGGGAATCCGCTTTTTCGGGCAGGAAAAAAAATTCCCGGGCAGGGTGAAAAACAATGTCGTGCTCAACATCGGGAAGGTATTCCATATTCTCACTAAGAATTTCGTAGCATTCTCCTAAGTCTGAACTTCGATTAGGGTGGGATGTGTAGTAGACACTATCGCTAGAAGGAAAAGTAGGAATCGGGATGAGCTCTGTTGGGAAGCGGGAAATGTCAAGTGCAGTTGGGCTGGCTGGTTAGTAGTGTGAGTGGGGTTTGTTGGGGGGACGTTTTTGACAGGTTGGAGTTCGTAGATGGGATGGATTTCAATGCGGTACTAAACAAAATTGTAGATCTGAACTGCCAGATGCAATTGTAAGGCACATTCCCGCTTCCCTACAACCCTGAATTGCACCTCGACTTCCGCGAAATGCTCACCAGGAGATTCCGCATCTTTCCGTATACACATGATTTTTTTTCCCGGGCAGCCCCTAAATAAATCTGAAAGCGTATAGCGTATTAGCTAGCGTATAGCGTTTTGCGTATGAACGCAAGCGTATATACGCTATACGCTTTAGGTTCTGAGCGTATATTCCCACTAAGACTGGAGCTGCAGTCCCAGGTGCGGGACTGGAGCTGCAGTCCCAGGTGCGGGACTGGAGCTGCAGTCCCAGGTGCGGGACTGGAGCTGCAGTCCCAGGTGCGGGACTGGAGCTGCAGTCCCAGGTGCGGGACTGGAGCTGCAGTCCCAGGTGCGGGACTGGAGCTGCAGTCCCAGGCGCGGGACTGGAGCTGCAGTCCCAGGTGCGGGACTGGAGCTGCAGTCCCAGGTGCGGGACTGGAGCTGCAGTCCCAGGTGCGGGACTGGAGCTGCAGTCCCAGGTGCGGGACTGGAGCTGCAGTCCCAGGTGCGGGACTGGAGCTGCAGTCCCAGGTGCGGGACTGGAGCTGCAGTCCCAGGTGCGGGACTGGAGCTGCAGTCCCAGGTGCGGGACTGGAGCTGCAGTCCCAGGTGCGGGACTGGAGCTGCAGTCCCAGGCGCGGGACTGGAGCTGCAGTCCCAGGTGCGGGACTGGAGCTGCAGTCCCAGGTGCGGGACTGGAGCTGCAGTCCCAGGTGCGGGACTGGAGCTGCAGTCCCAGGTGCGGGACTGGAGCTGCAGTCCCAGGTGCGGGACTGGAGCTGCAGTCCCAGGTGCGGGACTGGAGCTGCAGTCCCAGGTGCGGGACTGGAGCTGCAGTCCCAGGTGCGGGACTGGAGCTGCAGTCCCAGGTGCGGGACTGGAGCTGCAGTCCCAGGTGCGGGACTGGAGCTGCAGTCCCAGGTGCGGGACTGGAGCTGCAGTCCCAGGTGCGGGACTGGAGCTGCAGTCCCAGGTGCGGGACTGGAGCTGCAGTCCCAGGTGCGGGACTGGAGCTGCAGTCCCAGGTGCGGGACTGGAGCTGCAGTCCCAGGTGCGGGACTGGAGCTGCAGTCCCAGGTGCGGGACTGGAGCTGCAGTCCCAGGTGCGGGACTGGAGCTGCAGTCCCAGGTGCGGGACTGGAGCTGCAGTCCCAGGTGCGGGACTGGAGCTGCAGTCCCAGGTGCGGGACTGGAGCTGCAGTCCCAGGTGCGGGACTGGAGCTGCAGTCCCAGGTGCGGGACTGGAGCTGCAGTCCCAGGTGCGGGACTGGAGCTGCAGTCCCAGGTGCGGGACTGGAGCTGCAGTCCCAGGTGCGGGACTGGAGCTGCAGTCCCAGGTGCGGGACTGGAGCTGCAGTCCCAGGTGCGGGACTGGAGCTGCAGTCCCAGGTGCGGGACTGGAGCTGCAGTCCCAGGTGCGGGACTGGAGCTGCAGTCCCAGGTGCGGGACTGGAGCTGCAGTCCCAGGTGCGGGACTGGAGCTGCAGTCCCAGGTGCGGGACTGGAGCTGCAGTCCCAGGCGCGGGACTGGAGCTGCAGTCCCAGGTGCGGGACTGGAGCTGCAGTCCCAGGTGCGGGACTGGAGCTGCAGTCCCAGGTGCGGGACTGGAGCTGCAGTCCCAGGTGCGGGACTGGAGCTGCAGTCCCAGGTGCGGGACTGGAGCTGCAGTCCCAGGTGCGGGACTGGAGCTGCAGTCCCAGGCGCGGGACTGGAGCTGCAGTCCCAGGTGCGGGACTGGAGCTGCAGTCCCAGGTGCGGGACTGGAGCTGCAGTCCCAGGTGCGGGACTGGAGCTGCAGTCCCAGGTGCGGGACTGGAGCTGCAGTCCCAGGTGCGGGACTGGAGCTGCAGTCCCAGGTGCGGGACTGGAGCTGCAGTCCCAGGTGCGGGACTGGAGCTGCAGTCCCAGGTGCGGGACTGGAGCTGCAGTCCCAGGTGCGGGACTGGAGCTGCAGTCCCAGGTGCGGGACTGGAGCTGCAGTCCCAGGCGCGGGACTGGAGCTGCAGTCCCAGGTGCGGGACTGGAGCTGCAGTCCCAGGTGCGGGACTGGAGCTGCAGTCCCAGGTGCGGGACTGGAGCTGCAGTCCCAGGTGCGGGACTGGAGCTGCAGTCCCAGGTGCGGGACTGGAGCTGCAGTCCCAGGCGCGGGACTGGAGCTGCAGTCCCAGGTGCGGGACTGGAGCTGCAGTCCCAGGTGCGGGACTGGAGCTGCAGTCCCAGGTGCGGGACTGGAGCTGCAGTCCCAGGTGCGGGACTGGAGCTGCAGTCCCAGGTGCGGGACTGGAGCTGCAGTCCCAGGTGCGGGACTGGAGCTGCAGTCCCAGGCGCGGGACTGGAGCTGCAGTCCCAGGTGCGGGACTGGAGCTGCAGTCCCAGGTGCGGGACTGGAGCTGCAGTCCCAGGTGCGGGACTGGAGCTGCAGTCCCAGGTGCGGGACTGGAGCTGCAGTCCCAGGTGCGGGACTGGAGCTGCAGTCCCAGGTGCGGGACTGGAGCTGCAGTCCCAGGTGCGGGACTGGAGCTGCAGTCCCAGGTGCGGGACTGGAGCTGCAGTCCCAGGTGCGGGACTGGAGCTGCAGTCCCAGGTGCGGGACTGGAGCTGCAGTCCCAGGCGCGGGACTGGAGCTGCAGTCCCAGGTGCGGGACTGGAGCTGCAGTCCCAGGTGCGGGACTGGAGCTGCAGTCCCAGGTGCGGGACTGGAGCTGCAGTCCCAGGTGCGGGACTGGAGCTGCAGTCCCAGGTGCGGGACTGGAGCTGCAGTCCCAGGCGCGGGACTGGAGCTGCAGTCCCAGGTGCGGGACTGGAGCTGCAGTCCCAGGTGCGGGACTGGAGCTGCAGTCCCAGGTGCGGGACTGGAGCTGCAGTCCCAGGCGCGGGACTGGAGCTGCAGTCCCAGGTGCGGGACTGGAGCTGCAGTCCCAGGTGCGGGACTGGAGCTGCAGTCCCAGGTGCGGGACTGGAGCTGCAGTCCCAGGTGCGGGACTGGAGCTGCAGTCCCAGGTGCGGGACTGGAGCTGCAGTCCCAGGCGCGGGACTGGAGCTGCAGTCCCAGGTGCGGGACTGGAGCTGCAGTCCCAGGTGCGGGACTGGAGCTGCAGTCCCAGGTGCGGGACTGGAGCTGCAGTCCCAGGTGCGGGACTGGAGCTGCAGTCCCAGGTGCGGGACTGGAGCTGCAGTCCCAGGTGCGGGACTGGAGCTGCAGTCCCAGGTGCGGGACTGGAGCTGCAGTCCCAGGTGCGGGACTGGAGCTGCAGTCCCAGGTGCGGGACTGGAGCTGCAGTCCCAGGTGCGGGACTGGAGCTGCAGTCCCAGGTGCGGGACTGGAGCTGCAGTCCCAGGTGCGGGACTGGAGCTGCAGTCCCAGGTGCGGGACTGGAGCTGCAGTCCCAGGTGCGGGACTGGAGCTGCAGTCCCAGGTGCGGGACTGGAGCTGCAGTCCCAGGTGCGGGACTGGAGCTGCAGTCCCAGGTGCGGGACTGGAGCTGCAGTCCCAGGTGCGGGACTGGAGCTGCAGTCCCAGGTGCGGGACTGGAGCTGCAGTCCCAGGTGCGGGACTGGAGCTGCAGTCCCAGGTGCGGGACTGGAGCTGCAGTCCCAGGTGCGGGACTGGAGCTGCAGTCCCAGGTGCGGGACTGGAGCTGCAGTCCCAGGTGCGGGACTGGAGCTGCAGTCCCAGGTGCGGGACTGGAGCTGCAGTCCCAGGTGCGGGACTGGAGCTGCAGTCCCAGGTGCGGGACTGGAGCTGCAGTCCCAGGTGCGGGACTGGAGCTGCAGTCCCAGGTGCGGGACTGGAGCTGCAGTCCCAGGTGCGGGACTGGAGCTGCAGTCCCAGGTGCGGGACTGGAGCTGCAGTCCCAGGTGCGGGACTGGAGCTGCAGTCCCAGGTGCGGGACTGGAGCTGCAGTCCCAGGTGCGGGACTGGAGCTGCAGTCCCAGGTGCGGGACTGGAGCTGCAGTCCCAGGTGCGGGACTGGAGCTGCAGTCCCAGGTGCGGGACTGGAGCTGCAGTCCCAGGTGCGGGACTGGAGCTGCAGTCCCAGGTGCGGGACTGGAGCTGCAGTCCCAGGTGCGGGACTGGAGCTGCAGTCCCAGGTGCGGGACTGGAGCTGCAGTCCCAGGTGCGGGACTGGAGCTGCAGTCCCAGGTGCGGGACTGGAGCTGCAGTCCAGGTGCGGGACTGGAGCTGCAGTCCCAGGTGCGGGACTGGAGCTGCAGTCCCAGGTGCGGGACTGGAGCTGCAGTCCCAGGTGCGGGACTGGAGCTGCAGTCCCAGGTGCGGGACTGGAGCTGCAGTCCCAGGTGCGGGACTGGAGCTGCAGTCCCAGGTGCGGGACTGGAGCTGCAGTCCCAGGTGCGGGACTGGAGCTGCAGTCCCAGGTGCGGGACTGGAGCTGCAGTCCCAGGTGCGGGACTGGAGCTGCAGTCCCAGGTGCGGGACTGGAGCTGCAGTCCCAGGTGCGGGACTGGAGCTGCAGTCCCAGGTGCGGGACTGGAGCTGCAGTCCCAGGTGCGGGACTGGAGCTGCAGTCCCAGGTGCGGGACTGGAGCTGCAGTCCCAGGTGCGGGACTGGAGCTGCAGTCCCAGGTGCGGGACTGGAGCTGCAGTCCCAGGTGCGGGACTGGAGCTGCAGTCCCAGGTGCGGGACTGGAGCTGCAGTCCCAGGTGCGGGACTGGAGCTGCAGTCCCAGGTGCGGGACTGGAGCTGCAGTCCCAGGTGCGGGACTGGAGCTGCAGTCCCAGGTGCGGGACTGGAGCTGCAGTCCCAGGTGCGGGACTGGAGCTGCAGTCCCAGGTGCGGGACTGGAGCTGCAGTCCCGGGACTGAGCTGCAGTCCTCCACTCCCATCGCCATCCCCTCTCCCGCTCTCCTCTTTCCTCACCCCTCTCCCAGGTGCCTCATGCTTGCACGCACCGCATCTCCCCCGCTCTTTAACTCGTCTTGCCCCCCCGTCCCCCTCGTTTCCCCCGTCCCCCCCGTCCGCCCTCCTCCCCCGCGCCCCAGTGAACGTGTATGTGCCCAAGGACCGAGTGACGGGGCAGCACCAGGGGTACGGCTTTGTGGAGTTCCGCTCAGAAGAGGACGCCGACTATGTGCGTGGGGGGGGGGGGGGGGGGGGGTGCTTTCATGAGTGGGGGGGAGATGCGTGTGGTGTGGTGATTTGGGGGATTTTTGTGTAATGAGTTGTGGGGTGTTGGCTTGTTAGTGGTTTTATGCGTACTTGTGAGTGGGAAGGTGGTGACTTGTCGGCTCACTCACACTCACCTCTCACACACACTCACCTTCACAGTCACGACTCACACAGTCGCCCTCATTGTCATCACTCACACTTACATTCTCCACTCACACTTACCACTAACAGTCACCACTCAGTCACACTCACACTCACACTCTCCACTCACACTCACCGCTCACACTCACTTACACAGGAACACTCACCACTCACACCCACACCCACATACCGCTGTCTCGCACTCACCACTCGCACAGTATCTGCTGCTGCCGTTTCTTGTACTGTCTCACCTATCTGCTGCTGTGACGCCCATGACCGTCACACCGTGTGCAGGCAGTGAAGGTGCTGAACATGGTGAAGGTGTTTGGCCGCCCCATGCGCGTCAACAAGGCCAGCCAGGACCGCCGCACTGTGGACGTCGGTGCCAACCTCTTCATTGGCAACCTGGACCCTGTGAGACTCGCATTGACCCCGTGAGACTCGCATTGACCCCGTGAGACTCACATTCATCCCATGTGACTCGTATCGACCCTGTCAGACTCGCTTTGATCCTGTGAGACTGGGGGTGACCCCGTGAGACTCCCATCGGCCCGTCACTCTCCCACTTACCCCGTCAACCTCGTAACTACCTTCTTCGAGGTTCCCCATACAACACATCCACTCCTGCTTGTGTCTCCGATTCCCCTTACAAGCTCACAGCGCCCTCCCTACCTTCCATCTTCACTGCTTCCCGCGGTCTTACTCTTGTCTTACTCTGCTCGGTACACCTCCTCATCCTCTTCTCCCTCCCTCCTTCCATTAATCTATCCCTCTATCCATGCATGCGCGCGCATGAACAGGACGTGGATGAGAAGGTGCTATACGACACCTTCAGTGCCTTCGGTGTCATCGTCACCAACCCCAAGGTGTGTCCCCCAACCCCAAGGTGTGTCCCCCAACCCCAAGGTGTGTCCCCCAACCCCAAGGTGTGTCCCCCAACCCCAAGGTGTGTCCCCCAACCCCAAGGTGTGCCTTCCATCCTCCCAATATCTAGGCATTTGCTTGACCTCATGCTGCGTTGACACTTTATGTGTGTTTGCTCTATCCCGTTTGACTTCATGCCTTCTCCCGCTGCTTTGTAGTCGCTTTCCTTACTGTCTACTGTCGCGTGGTATGGCATGGCATGGTGGGAGAGCAGATCATGAGGGATACGGAGAGTGGCAACTCCAAGGGCTTCGGATTCATAAGCTACGATTCATTCGAGGCGTCTGATGCTGCCATTGAGGTACCTCGCACATGCTGCCATCAACGTGTTGCTCCTTGCTTTCCATAGGTTTGTCTGTTAGAATCTAGGATGGTACGAGTGTATGAGTCCAAGGTTCGGCTTGCCCCGGTTGCTGCCATGCGTGCAGGCAATGAACGGGCAGTACCTGTGCAATCGGGCCATCTCGGTGTCGTATGCCTTCAAGAAGGACACCAAGGGGGAGCGACACGGCACCCCTGCAGGTCACTGCTCTCCATGTGCCTGCTCATTTCTTTCCCTGTGGATGCTGATTGGCTTTCATTTTGCCAGCTGGTTGCTCTTTTTGTGGGTACAATGCATTTCAGAAGTACTTCAAGTGTGTGGTGGTACTGTGTTGTCTCATTTGATGGAAGGCCGGCTTCTTTCTTCTTTCGCACTGTCGATACCTTTCTCTTAACTTTCTTTCTTATCCGTCTCCTTCTGCTCCCCTTGTCCCCGCCCTCTCTCCCTTCTTCAGAGCGACTGCTGGCAGCCAACAACCCGTCCACCACGCGCCATCGCCCCCACACCATGTTCGCTGCAGCTCCCCCCTCCGCCCCCCCTCCTCCCCCCCCCTCTCGCCCACCTCCACCTTCCATCCCCCCTGCTGCCGCCCCTCCCCCTCCTCGCCCTTACACCTCTCCTGCTCCCCCTGCGCCCCCGCCTGCACCTTCCCCTTACCGCCCCCCTCCTCCCCCATCCTATGGCGGTGCGGGCGCGTCCCCTGCTCCCCCTTACTACCCCCCTCCCCAGATGCGCCCTCCACCTCCATCTCAACAGTATCCCCCCCACCAGATGCCACCTCCTCCCCCACAGCATTGGCAGCAGAACCAGCCCCCGCCCCCTCCACAGCACTATGCTCCCCCGCCTCGCATGCCCCCTCCTCCCCATGGCGGGGCACCAGGGGGGGGCTATGGTCCCCCGCCCCCCCATGGGGGAGCACCAGGAAGGGGATATCCCCCCCCTCCCCACCACGGCGGAGCACCAGGGGGAGGATATCCGCCCCCTCCCCCTCAAGGCGGAGCACCAGGGGGAGGCTACCCTCCCCCTCCGCGCTACCCCACTCCTGGCGGCCCTCCCCCCTCCTATCCCCCACCTGGCCAGGGTTACGCCATGCCGCCTCCTCCCCCTCAGCCCCACCAAGGGGGGTGGCGGCCGGGGCAGCCCCTCCCTCCCCCGGCGCCTGGTGCAGGGGGGGCAGGTGGGGGTGGGCCAGGGCCCAACGTGGCCGTTCCTCCTCCGCCGCGACCACCCATGGGGGGAGCTCCTCCTGGGGGCAGTGTGCTTGGGGCCGCCCCAGGGACATAATCGTGAAAGATGGTGTAACAATCTCTGGGGATTGTTCTCCCTAGGCTTGGTCTGGTGATGGAGATAATTGAAGTGACATGCTTGAACCAATGTCCTCGTGCTTTTATTAACAGGTGCTACAAAGCTCGTATCAGTGTTGTACTTGGGAGCTTTGCAAGTGAATCCGTCTGTACCATGCCAGAGAGCTTGGATGCCACTGGGTGAGCATATCAGCAATTCGTGTACACATGATGCCCAACCAGTGCACGCGAATTTGCCCTGCACCGGATGGAAACGCTGCACCCGAGGTCTTTTCCCCAGCCTGTTGCACCCACGATACAAGCGCGTCGCGTGGTTATGGACCAATAGTAACGAACAGACCTAAGTCAAACTGAAGAGACTGAAGTCAAAATGTCAGCGGATAAGGTTACAGATACTTAATATAAGCACCGAGTCCTTTTTAGCTAGCTGCGAATTGACGAAACTTATGCGAAATGCACGATACAATTTATACACCCCCTTCACAAGGCAACCAGGAGGGGCTCAAACAGGCATCCAATCGTATCTTCTCGAATCAATGCACTTTTCTCGTGGAGAATCTCAAGAAAATCTGATGTGTACCGAATGAAACGTCGCACCAGGTGTCGGTGCGAACTTGGTTGTCTCGCGACAAGGTTGTCCCTACGAGGCTCGTGGCTATGGTAACTGAAGGTTTGGGCGAGTTGTTGTGATGGAGCGACATGGTTTCTCAGTTGTTCGCCGGAGATTCAACTGGTGCTGGGAAACGTGAACGATACTCGTATAGCCGGTTACGTTCACGTCGCAGAGTTCGCAAAAGTAACCTCCACGCAACTCCCCTCCATGCTTCCACCTGCTCCTCTCCTCTCTCCATCCACGAGGTCACCATCCAGCCGCCATGTCCACCCCAGTCGGCACGTGAGTCCACAGTAGTAACTGCCTCCGTGAATCTGCCTTCTGCTCTCCCCATCTACTTGTGCAGGTTAGCCCATTTGCGCGGCGCGACCGCACTCTACACTAACACCACCATGAAGCCAACCTTTGCTTGCTCGTGCTCTCAGTGTGTCGTTTCCCACCATCCCACTTCCATCACTAGCCTTCATGCCATCTCCACATTCAGCCGACCTCGGGCTTCCCAGCGTCGTGGATCTCGATTCAGCCGTCTCTTCGTGCTCTTCCTCTTAACATCACCGCATCGCGGTCCATGGCCCACGTTCAATGCCTTCCCGTCTCCGTCCCACCCTCGCGAATACCGCACTCCGCAACGTGTCCTCCCGATATGACGTTCGTTTCAGACCTAGATTCGTCGGAGTTGGTACCACGGGAGTTCCTGTGTCCGCTATCAGGCGCCATCATGCGCGACCCGGTCATCGCGCCCACCGGCCAGTCGTACGACCGCGCAAGCCTTGACCACTTCCGCACACGCGGCGGCCGCTTCTGCCCCAAGACGGGCGCGTTGCTCGCGGACTGCGCGCTCATTCCCAACGACGCGCTCCACCAGCTCATCGCCGCCTGGTGCCTCTCTCACGCCACGCGCGTCCCTTCCCCTCCTTCTCCCCCTCCTCCGCTTATCTCCGCGTCGCCCCTCGGCCCCTCTCCCGCCGTCCTCCCCGCGCGCTCAGCGCCAGCCGCCATCAACGGGCTCGCCTCTCCCCCTGGCTGCGCGCCCTCCTCGCCGCTGCGCGCGCCCCTATCTCCGCTGCAGCGCCGTTATTCCTTCCAACCAAGCCGCAGCGCCTCCGCGTGCAGGGGGCACGGGGACGAACAGCCGGCGTCAGACGCGGCGAGCTTGGCGATTCCACGGCACGTGATGGGCGCGGGCAGCAGCGGCAGGTCGCTGTGTCGCACCATCTCGCCGCTCTCCGAGACCGCGTCGCTCGACTGGGCCGCCGCCAGCAGCGCCGCTAGCAGCCCCTCCTCGCCCCTCCGCGCCCTCCGCCACCGCCACAACCACCAGCTCGCCGCCACGTCACAGGACGACGCAAATGAAGTGGCGCTGAGCTCGTACCTCTCCTCCAACGCATCGTTCTCCCGCCTGCAGCAGTCGAATCCCAACTCGCCACGTGGCAGTCGCCGCCGCAGCAAGGACACGCCAGTGCGAGAGATGCGGCCATTCGTGGATGCACTGCAGGATGCTGACGTGGCAGTGAGGCGGGTCGCCGCGGAGGCCATCCACGTGGCAGTGAAGCAGGCGGAGGAGAACCGCACGCGGGTGGTGCAGGCGGGTGGTGTGGCGCCGCTGCTGGCTGCGGTGCAGTGCGAGGATGAGGGCACGGCACAGCGGGCATGTGCTGCCCTGCTGTACGTGTCACTGGCACGCGAGGGGGCGAGGGAGGTGGTGGCGCGTGGAGGTATTCCCGTTCTCGTAGACGTGCTGCGACCAGCAGGAGAAGCGGGCACGCAGGGAGAGGCGGCTGAAGCCACCAAGGCGAACGCAGCTGCGGCGCTGTTCACTGTGTCGTCCACCAAGGAGGAGCGCAAGCGCCTTGTGTGCTCTGCCGGTGCTGTGCCGCACCTCGTGCACCTCGTGCAGACGGCACACACGCCCCGCGCGCTCAAGGACGCGTGCCTGGCTCTGTACGGGCTGGTGGGCTTGCGGCAGGCGGCGGAGCAGGCAGTGGCGCTGGGAGTGGTGGCGCTGGTGGTGGGGCTGCTGGAGAGGCACGGCGAGGGCGTGGAGGAGAAGGCAGCATCGCTGCTGGCCGTGCTGGCTCGCTGCGAGGTGGGTGTGGCAGCCATTGCGGACGATGAGGATGCGGTGTGTGCGCTGGTGGATGTGATGGAAGGCAGCTCGCAGCATGCTGCTGACAAGGCAGCGTGCACTCTGCTGGCCATGGCACGGCATGGCGGGGATGCCATGGCTCGGAGAATAATGGTCGAGGGGTGCCTGCCTCCACTGGCCAAGCTTGCAGCGAATAGTCAGGCAAGCTCTGATTCTCATGAGCTGTTAAACATTATTAGGAACTTAGGACAATCCAAGAAGTAGTAGAGTGTCCCGCCTGCTTACACTGCGGGCATATTCGTAGAACTTCAGAACTAGGGAGGTGCTAGTTCGTTGTTTACTCGTACAAATGGATGTATGTACATGATTTTTTACGCTCAGCCTTGTCATACAGTACTAAGGATCAAGACAGCATGAAACTGCCTGTACAGTTGTAACAGGAGGCATTTATGCACTCATTCATCATCCACCCACCCTCAGCATTACTTGTTACGAACAAATCCCAATCTTTTGGGAAGGCCCTCAGATCTCAGCGGCAGTATTTAATTTCTACAGCTAAAGAGGTATTGTATGAATGGTCCCTTTCTCTCACTCTTGTATGTAACTGCACTCATAACACAAGTTAAGCAGTATGGCGTAACAATGACCCCATGTTCCACAAACTTCAAGGTTCCGCGAGGCTCGTCATCGTTCGCTGCTGCTGGATTGTCTTGTGCGCGTGCCTCGTTACCGCGCAACGCTGCTCTCTCCCACTTCTTCAGTTTTTCGTATCGCAACGTTACCCGTCGGCCCTATTGGAGCAGCATTCGCCGCCCGCCGTACAAGTTGCACCTCACATGCACCCTCGAGACCTTCCTGCATACACCATGGCAGTTGACCTAACCTAATCCACCCTCCACACGTCTCACCCTCCTAACTAACAGCGTCTAGACAGGCGATCGTTAGGTCAAGACTGTATCGCTAATTACCTTCCTGTATTTATTGACTCGTCACGACACTAGTTTGCGCTTTCCTGCGTTACGTTCTTAAACCACGACTACTTCCAAGTTTGGCACAGCAGGCGATCCCGGCGCGCATGTCGCTGCTCGATCATGCCGCCTTTCCAGCGAGTCGTTGCCCTCTGCGCGGAGCCAGGTAACGCCGCCAGCGATGCCCAACACGCAGTACCGCTTGAGGCACCCGACGCGGTACGGCAAGCAGCCGGCGGTGCCGGCGGAGTTCGTGTGTCCGCTGTCGCTGCAGCTGCTCACCGACCCGGTCATCACGGCGTCGGGCCTCACCTTCGAACGCGCCGTCATCCAGAAATGGTACCGCGACGGCAACCGCATATGCCCCGTCACCGGATCGCGACTAGACCACTACCGGTTGTTTCCGAACCAGGCGGTTCGGCAGCTTATCGCGCAGTGGTGCGACGCGAACGCCGTGCCGTACGCGCCGGGCGTACTGTGCGTGCGTGTGGACCCGCAGGGGCAGCAGGGGACGGGTAGCTTTAGGGAGCGCTCGTCCCAGTCGCGCCACGGCGGTCAGTCCTTAGCAGGCTCGGGCAATGGCAGCTCTGGGAGGCAGCCGCTTGCGAACGGCGTATATCAGCAGCCGCCGCAGCAGCAACAGCAGCAGCACCAACAGCAACAACAACAGCAGCAACAGCAGCAACAGCAACAGCAGCAGCAGCAGCAGTCTCGGTTGCAACAACAACAGCAACTCCGCCAATTCCGCGCGCAAGAGGCGGAGCTGCTTTCTCCGCGTAGCGGGCGCGATAGCAACCACAGCTCCCCGGGCGCACAATCCGCGTGTGCCGGTCTCCCGCCCCCAGGGCCCTCCTCCAATCTCTCTCAGCGCCCCTTCACTCCCCCCGGCACTCCGCCCAAAAGCCCGCGCTCTGCAGCCCCTTTTTCCACGCTTCCCGGCGCCTTTCAGCGCCCGCGGACTCCCCCATCGGGGGCGGACGACCGACCGTTCTCCCCTGCTGGCGGGGAAAGTGTTCCGCGCAACCACCCTTCCGCGTCCCTTTCCGTTTCAAGATCGGTGTCGAGCGGGGGATCCGTGCAGCGCATCGCGTCGGGAAATGGCACACAGGCGGTGCGGGGATCCCCCGCTGGCGCAATGGTGCCGCGCACAGCCTCAGGGGGAGGGGCGGTGTTGCGAGTGGTGTTAGGTGGTGGGGTGCCGCGAGTTTCCTCCGCCGACAGTCCCCGAGCGCGCATTTCCTCCGCGGAGCGAATAGGCTCCAGTCCCCTGTCTGGGGACGAGTTGGGGGGAGCAGGCGCGCGGAGACCAGCAGGCGCGCCCCCCAACGGCGCAGGGCCTCCGCAGCGGCGGCAGGCGGCGGGGCCGAGACATAGGGGGAGCCAGTCGCAGGTGCTGCGGGTGCTGGGGCAGGACGGCGGGGGGGATAGCAGCTCCTCGGGTCTTGCGCGCTCGCACTCGCTGCAACCCAAGGCGGACGATATCGAATCGCTCCTTAACGCGTTAGAGGACGACGAATCGGACGGCTACGAGTCGGGCCAGTCCGACGCGCTCTGGCGCGCCAACGAGCCGCTCCCCGTGCCCCGCGTCGCCAGCCTCGGGGGTAGGGGGGCTGCGCGGGGGGCCGGCGCGGGGAGAGGGGGGACAGGAGCGGGCAGGGGAGGGCGGGGAGGGAGAGGGGCGATGGCGGATGGTGTAGGGCGGTCGGACAGCTTAGAGCGCGGCATGATGCGCGCGAAGCAGCAGGGCCACGCAGGTGCGCACGCGGACGGGTCGCTCCGGCTGCTCAACGGCCGCAACGGCATTCCCTCGGGAAAACGACCCGCTCAGGGGGGTAGCGGCGACGGGGGGAACGCGGAGAGCGGGTTGCGGCGCACGTCGTCGCTGCAGTCGCAGGGGCTGCTGTCGGCGAGTCTGGGCAGTCTGGGCCTCGACACCACGCGCGACTCCTTCCGCGGCGCCGTCGAGGACCTCGTGCCGCGCAGATCAGCCGGCGCGGGGGCGCGTGGGGAGGTGGCGCAGTCGCGGTTCGCGGGGGAGAGTGGCGGGGAGTCGTCGTCGGAGAGGGAGGCGCGGAGGGGCGCGCCTGGCCGGCCGGGGGGCGGCATTCCGCCCGGCGCGCGGCTGCTGGCGGCGGGCCGCGCGAGCCAGTCGTTCCGCGACCGCGCGAGCAGCGACGGCAGCGACAGCGAGCTCAAGGCGGCGCTGCTCGGCGCCATCCGCAGCTCCAGCGCCGGCAGCCCCGCCGACGCGCCCATGGCGGGTGGCGGGGGAGTCACGGGGGCAGGGGGGGGGGGGGCGGGGGAGGCGGTGCAGGGGGTGCGGTGGCGAGCGGGCGGGCGAACGCGCTGCGCAACATGGGCGCGGCGGGCATGCGGTCGGCGTCGTTCCGCATGGGGCGAGAGCTCTCCATCGACGTCAGCAGAGGCGCTGCTGCCACGGCGGGCGCTGGAGGTGGGGGCGCGGGAGGGGGGGCCGCGGGAGGGGGGGGGCCAAGGCTGACGGCGTCTGGCAGCCTGCGCAGCCCCGTGGGGTCGTCGTCCATGCGCGTGTCGCGCGACGGCGCCATGGGCGCCAGGGCCGCCGCCATTGACGCCGCCCTGCGCGCTGCGGCGCTGCCGCGCAGCCCTGCTGGGCGCTCCTCGTCGTCACTTCCGCCCATCCGCGACAGCAGCAGCAGCGGCGCAGCATCAGGGGAGTTGGGATGGGGCGCGCCTGGGGTTCCGCGCAGTCCAGGACGAGCAGCGCCCGCGGGTGCCAGGGAGGCGCCCATTCCGCGCGTGGGTAGCCGGGAGGCCGCCATGCACCACAGTGGTCCGCCTTTGGGGGACAGCCCCGCCAACGGCCACACTGCTCCCCCCTCCTCTGCGCGCCACCCCCCTCCGCCACTCGCCCTGCGCCGCGACCTCTCCATGGACACGTGGGCGCTCGCCTCGCATCTCCCCGCCTCCGCCCCCCCCACCTCCGCGCCCCCCGCCGTCGCGCCACTCTCCCCCATCCACTCGTCCGGGCCCCTCTCCCCCATACACGCATCCGGCCCGCCCTCCCCCCGCCTCTCCTCCACACCCCTCTCCCCGCGCGCCTCCACGGGTCCGCGCAGCCCCGTGGGCGCGGGCGCGAGGGGCTTGGGGGGCCCGGGGGGCCCGCCGCGGTGGCGGCGGGACAGCAGCGTGGAGAGCAGCGGAGATGCGGGCAGCGGCAGCGAGGGGCGCGAGCAGGGAGCGGGCATGGGGGGCGGGGGCGGGGGCGCGGGGGGAAGGAGTCCGCCAATGCTGCAGCGCAGCCTGGGGCGGCGAGTGGCGGAGGAGGGCGCCCTGCTGCGCTCAGGGTCCATTCAGAGCGTGCAATCTGTGGGGCATGCGGGCGGGGGGGGGCACAGGCACGCGCAGGGGCAGGGACAGGGGCAGGGGCATGAGGGCATGGGCGCCAGTGACACAGACGACCCGTTCCTCTCCGCTCTCTCCAGCGTGCGCCGCGAGCAGCAGTTGTGGGGCGAGGGCGGGATGAGCGGGGGGGAGGAGGGGGGCGCGGCAAGGGGGAGGGGCCAGCAGAGGGGGGCGTCGAGCTTGGCGCAGTCAGAGGGGGAGGGGCGCGGGGGAAGCGACTGGGAGAGCGACGGGTCGTCCATGCTCCACAGGAGGGCAGCAGGGGCAGCGGCGGGAGGGTCGCGGCTAGGTAACAGAGAGGCAGGGGGAGGAGCAGGGGCAGGCACGAGTTCAGGGCGCAACCTGGGAGGGGCGGCGCAGGGGAGGCGGCAGCTGCAGCGGGGGTCGTCACAGACGGACAATCGGGGGCTGGGCCGGGCAGCACACAGGGCGCTGCACACCACCGCGCTCGACCCCACTGGACCGCCCTCAGGCATGAACCCGCCGGGCGGCGCACAGGGGCTGCGGCGCGCGTCCTCATTGGCTGTGGTGGGCGGCAGCGGGCGGCAGCAGGGAATGGAGGGCATGGAGGGGATGGACGGTTCAGAGGGGTTCCACGAGGTGGTGCGAGAGATGAAGGCAGAGGGGGGGCGCGTGGGCGGAGGGGTGCGGCGAGGGGAAGCAGCAGGGGCGGAGCTGTCAGCGTCGCACCGCAGAGTGGCGTCGCTGGCAGTGCAGAGCCGCAGCAGCAGCAGCAGCAGCATCGCCCTGGGAGGGGGGGGTGCCATGGGCAGCTCAGGCGAGGGCCGTGCCGTGTCCCGCCGCCTCAGCGGTGGCAGTGGTGGCGGGCTGTCGTCCCGCCGCTCCGACTACTCCCTGCCTCCTGATGCGTCCGCTCTGCTGGATGAGCTCGATGGGTCGGATGGCAGTGAGGGGGATGTGGGGGACATGGGGGGCATGGGGGGCATGGGGGACCGGCGGGTGCATGGGCATGGGGGGTACGAGGCCATGCAGGGGAATGGTGGCAGTGGGCACATGCAGCCGCATCAACTGCAGCAGCATGCGCAGCAGCAGCAGCAGCAGCAGCAGCAGGGGCATGGACATGGGCATGGGCATGAGGAGGAGGCACCACAGCCACGGGTGGGCAGGGTGGGCGGCACCTTTGCCTGGCTGCGAGAGGCCCTCCGCAGCCCCCTCAAGAGCCCCAAACCCGCTGCCCCCGCCCCCACCGCCCCCGCCCCCCACTCCGCCCAGTCCATCCCGCTGAGTCCCCGTTCCGCCCAACCCCCCCTGCCCGCGTGGGGCGCGGGGGTGCGCCCGTCCACGCCCCCCCAGGGCGCGGCATACGGCAAGAGCGCCAGTGCTGAGACGTCTCAAAAGGCGTACGGCAAGAGCGCCACTGTGCCCGCACCTGAGCGCCGCAGCCTGTGGGGGGAGGCCAGGCGCGCTGTGGGGCTGGGGGAGGGCGGGGGGGGCGACGGGGGGAAGGCGGAGGAGGCGTTTCGGCGGTCGTCGTCAGAGCATGGGGGGCAGGACGCGGTGGCCGCCATGCAGTGGGCGCAGGGGGAGCGGGGGGAGGAGGCTGAGGGGAGGGGGGACGGGGGGCGCAGTGGAGGGGGTGGGAGGGGCGGGCAGGGGCCGCAGGGAAGGGGGATGGCGGTGGGGGGGAGGGAGCTGGGCGAGGGGAGGACTGGGAGTCAGGGCAGCAGTGGGCATGAGGGGATGAGGGATGGGGGAAGGGGAGCAGGTGGACGGGGGTTGGGGGGAGGGGCAGGCAGAGGAGGGGGGCGAGGCGGGGAGGGGGGTGCAGAGGGGGGAGGAGGGGGTGGGCGGGGGCAGGGATGGGCCAAGGTGCGTGCCGTGTTCCCCCTGCATGGGGAGGGCGTTGGGCGGGGGGCAGGGGGGAGAGGGCCGGGCAGAGGAATGGGCGACGGGGGAAGGGGAGGAGGGGGGAGAGGAGACGGGGGAAGGGGAACTGGGGGAAGAGGAGGAGCAGGAGCAGGGCCAGGGGTGAGACATGGGGGAGGAGGGGGGCCGGGAGGGGGAAGAGAGGGTGGGGACTCGGGTCGGCTGTCCCTGGAGCGCACGTCATCACTGTCCTCCAACCACCATGCCGCAGCTGCAGCTGATTCCCACAGGGACGTCGACGGCTCCTCGGCCCATCCTCTCTCCCCCCTGGCAGCAGCAGCAGCGGCATCGCCCCCGGACATGGTGACGTTGGTGCGGGCGGTGGCGCACGGGGGGGAGACGGATCGCATGGAGGCAGTGGCGGCCATCAGGGCGCTCGTCAAGGGCAGCCGCGACAACAAGTCACGCCTCATCGCCGCGGGGGGTGTGCCCGCGCTCGTGCGTGTGCTGCGCCATGCGCACCCCGCCATCAAGGAGCACGCGGTTACCGCCATTCTGAACCTCTCCCTCGTGCCCGGTGCACCCGCCATCATCGCGTCAGTGGGCGGCATCGATGCCGTGGCGGGTGTGTTGCAGTCAGGGTCGCAGGTGGCACGGGAGAACGCTGCAGCGGCGCTCTTTGCCCTCTCGGTGGATGATGGCAACCAGTGCCTGGTGCGGCGGGCAGGGGCGGTGCTGCCGCTGGTGGACGTGCTGCGGTCGGGCAGCACGCGCGGGCGCAAGGACGCGGCTCTCGTGCTCTTCAACCTCTCGCGCGACCAGCGCAGCCGCGCTGAGATCGTGGCGGCAGGGGCGGTGCCGGTGCTGGTGGGCATGCTGGGGAGTGAGGAGGGCGGGCTGGAGGAGAAGGCCATGGCAGTGCTGGCGAACCTGTGCCGCATGCCCGAGGGCTGCGATGATGTGCTGGACCTGCCTGGTGCCATCCCCACGCTCGTGCGCGTGGTGGCGCAGGGGTCACAGCGCGCCAAGGAGGACGCGGTGATGACGCTGCTGATGCTGGCGAACAGTGAGCCGGCGAGCTGCCATGCGATGCTGGCGGAGAGCATGGTGCCGGCGCTGCAGCAGGTGGCGCAGACGGGGTCCCAGCGCTCCAAGGGCAAGGCCAGGGCGCTGCTGGACCTGCTCCGCAGCCAGGCGCAGCGAGGCCGAGGGGGGGCAGACAGGTGACCAGAGGAGGTTTCTTGCACTGCCACCTGCTGTGGCATGCATGCAGGCCAGGAGGGGTGGATGGAGACAGTGGGGCAGAGCAGAGGGGATGGGGGAGGGAGTTGGGGGTTGTGAACGTGGGGGGGTTGGGGGCTGGGGATGGGTGTAACTAGGGAGAAGGTGTGCAGGGTGTGAGGCGAAGAGGAGAGTCAATGGTGAATATGGAAGGGTGGCAGCAAACGGTGTGAGAGAGATTATGAGATAATACGATGGGTGTTAGCCGCCAGGAGGATGCCTTGACCCGCTAACATGAGCACCACTTCACGGCTCTAATAAGCCCCTGTGTGGGTGTGTGGGTAGGTAGGTGCTGTCAAATGTAATTCTATGCTTGTAGGCTACAGTGAGTAGCACAATAGGGAGTACAGTTGTTAGGGTTGCATATTTATACTCTCACACTTTCTAGTTTCGGCATTCCGTTGCATTCCTATTCTGAGATGGTATCACGAGTAGGTTAGATCCTCGTTCGTTTTTAGCTAGCCTCTGCGCCCTACGCGCCCTCCGTGCTCTCGCGCCCTCCGCGCCCTCCTCGCGCCTAGCCTGCGCTCTCCCGCGCTGTCCAGCCTGTCGCGCGCCCTCTTTAGACCTCCGCGCGCCCTCCAAAACCGTCGTGCACCCTCTTTAGACCGCCGCGCGCCCTCCTCAACCGTCGCGCGCCCTCCTTAGTGTAGGGCTGAAAAAGGCCCTTAGGATTTTTGCAGGGGTGAACTCTGGGTAGAGTTGGTGTAATAGCGGAAGCGTTAATAAAGTGTTGTGAACCACCTTGCGCTAGTATGTGAGAGCAAAGTAAGTTGATTAAAACAAAGAGATACAAGATTATATATGAATACAGGGAATATGAAAAGACACAGTTATAACTACTTTATTGTTGCTGTTGCGGTTCGATACAGTGACGACTCGGGCAACTGCTCTGTAACGAGTCAGTTGTGTGTCCTTGCTGTCGCGCTGTACTTGTCAGGTCAAAGGTCACTGACCTTTGACTTTCGCGTAACCTCCAGCGGTTACTTCAACCTCCGAGGGTTGACTCGCTGGTTCCTCGATATGCTTTGCTTCGCTTGTGCCTTAGTGTTTCGACACGACAGAGGCGCTTAGGACCGATTGTTTCCAACACTCCCCTTCGCTTCTGGAGTGTCGCTGACGCGGCCCTGTCCAGTCAGCAGCATGCAGTATTCGAACTTCTGCTTTCCGAGCTTCTTGGTCAGGTAGTCAGCTGCCATCTCGGACGTGGGGTAGTATGACAGCTCGAGCCTTTCTTTCTTGATCTCGTCCTTCACGAAGAAATATCGCAGGGCGATGTGTTTCGTCCTGTTCGCGAAGCCGTTCTTGTTGGCGATGCAAATTGCCGATTGGTTGTCGCAGAACAGGGTAAAGTTGGGTAACTCGGCTAACTTCGCTTCTTCCAGTAGCTCGCGAAGATAGAGTCCTTCCTTGGTGGCTGAGCAGAGTGCAATATATTCTGCTTCAGCTGACGAGAGAGCAATTAATTCCTGCTTGCTCGATTGCCAGGAGATAGGTCCGATAGGTTCGAGGCAGTAGATGTAGCCAGTGCGGGAGCGCCTATTGTCTGAGTCGCCAGCGTGATCAGCGTCGACGTAGCCGATGAACTTAGTCGGTGTGGTTGCGTTCTTGTAGTAAGTTAGGCCGATCGTTGAGGTGCTGACGAATTAGTGTAGAGCGCGGTCGAGCTCCGCCAGATGTTCTACTTCAGGCTTCTTGAGGTAGGTGGCGAGCTGGCTTGCAGAGTAGGATAGATCTGGGCGGCAGGTGACAGATGCGAAGAGAAGGCAGGCCAGCTTTCTCTGGTAGTCGCGTATGCCGGCGGACTTGAGTAGAGCGGAGCCTTCCTTGTTGTTTGCAGTCGTGTAGCGGTACGGTGTGGAGATGACAGTCGGTGTGAGTGCGAAACGCTTGGCGATGGTGTCGGCGTATTTCGCGGCGCTGAGGTAGATAGCGTCTTCCTCTTCCCGGATGTTGAGGCCGAGGTACTGTATGACGGTAGATGAGACCGTGAGTGTGAGGTCTTGCTGTAGCTCCCCTTCGAACCAGGTTGTAATGCCGTCAGTTGAGCCGATGTAGAGTAGATCGTCTACATAGACGATTAGCAGGATGTAGTCGGTACCCTTCGTGAGCCGGTACATGCCCTAGTCGTGCGGCAATTGCTTGAAGCCGATGCGAATGAGGCGAGCGTGTAGGTATTGTTGCCATAGTCGCGGAGCTTGCTTGATGCCGTAGAGCGAATTGAGTAGTTGACAGACGTGGTTCGAGTCCGTGCTGGAGCCGTGTGGTAGCTCGACGAAGATCTCTGCGTCAACACGTGCGTAGAGGAATGCGTTAGCGACGTCGATTTGCCGCAGCTTCTTCTTCTTCATGGCGGCGATTGCGAGAAGGATGCGTAGCGAGGTGTGTCGGCTGACCGGAGCGAATGTTTCGGTGAAATCGCGTCCGTGCTCTTGGTCGAAGCCGCGTACGACCCAGCGTGCCTTAAATTTGTCGATGGTGCCGTTAGCCTTTGTCTTCACACGGAAGACCCACTTCCCGGTGAGCACTGTCTTGTTCCGTGCCACGCCGATAGGAACCACTTTCCACGTGTTGCGTTCCTCCAGTGCCTTTAGTTCCTTGTCCATGGCTTCGCGCCATTTTTCCTTATGTTCCCCCCCCAGAGCCTACTGAACCGTCGCAGGCTCTTTAGGAGTGGCGGAGCCGTGGACTGCGATGACGAGCCCGAGAATCTGCAGTCCACTCTGTGAGTAGCGGGGAAGATTTACGTCCTCGGGATAAGCTGCTTCATCTCCCGCTTCTGGATCAGGTATGCAGTTCGGTCCTATTCGTTCTGCTTCGTTGGTGTTGACTGTCGCAGGTGTTACGTAACCGTTGTCGGCGAAATGGTAGAAGGTTTCGGCGTTGGCACTTTCGCGAGGGCTGTCTTCGTCCATGGGAACGTCGACGGAGCAGAACGGGAGAGGTCCGGCTTCTTCTGATGCGTTGTCCACATTCTGCTCGTCCCAGTCAGCTTCGTCCGCTGCTGAGGCGAAGGCTCGGTCACCACGAAAACCACCTGTGGGATCTTCGTCTTCTTGCATGTTGGCAAGGTATGTCTGGAGCGTGAGTCGTTCGTAAAAAATTACGTCACGTGCTGCTACTGTTTCCTTGGAGTGGACGTCGAAGATTTTCCACGCGTTGTAGTTCTTTTCGATTCCCAGGTGTAGTCCCCACTGTGCTCGTTGAGAAAATCGGCCCGCTCGTGCTGCTGGGGGTCGGTACTGTACCATGCATCCGAAAACTCGTAACATTTTTGTGCTGCCCTGTTTCCCTGTCCATAGCAGATGCGGTGATGCGTTGTTTGGAAGCGATGATGACGACAGCAAGTTGTGCAGCATGACGGCGTGGTCCATTGCTGCAGGCCACTGGTGGTTGGGTAGCTGCATGCCACGTAACAGTTTGCGCATGCTGTTCTGCAAGGTCCTGTTCATTCTTTCTGCTACACCTTGCTGCTGATGCGCGTAGGGAAGGGAGATGAGCTGTTTGATTCCCCTTTCCGCCAGGTACTGCTTGAATCGCTGAGAGGTGTATTCTCCTCCTTCGTCTGACTGGTAGCTTTTCAGTTGCATGCCCGATTCTCTCTCTGCTACTGGTAGCCAGGCAACGAAGGTTGCGAATGCCATGTCGCGGCTAGGGAGGTTTAGGTGCCAGACGTAACGGGTGGCGGCGTTGATGAAGGTGATCGTGTAGTTGTATGTTACTTGTCCTGGTTCCCGATTGAACAGGATGTCGCTATACACCTTCTCGAGTGGTGTGTACGCGGGTGCGCTCGGGTTGTGATGAGGTGCAAATGGTCGATGTGGTAAGTCACCTTCAGGGCAGATGATGCACGTTCCGCGTACTCGTTGAAGTTCTCGTCCGTCGGTCAGTAGGAGTGAGTCCTTGTCGAGTACTCTTGCTCTTATTGTATTGTTTAATACTGTGTTGCTTGGGTGTCCCATCCTTGCGTGCCAGGTGCTTTCGTCGGCGCGATGTCCGGGTGATCGTCGGTACATATCGGAGTTGGAGTAGAAGTTGGCGGTGAAGTTGGCGCTACGATGAACTTCTCGTGGTGCTGGGAGTAGTTGTTGCGCGGGTGTTGGTGGTGTGTCGTCGATGAGGAGCGGTGTCGTTGAAGGACCAGCAATTGGTGTTGACGTTCCTGCTGCTGTCGTTGATGGTTCTGCTACTGTCGATGTTGTCTCTGCTGCTGCCGATGTTGTCTCTGCTGCTGCCGATGTTGTCTTTGCTACTGCCAATGTTGTCTTTGCTGCTGCCGATGTTGTCTCTGCTGCTGCCGATGTTGTCTCTGCTGCTGCCGATGTTGTCTGAATTGTTGCTAACGCCCTTGTTCTTTCTGCTTCGGGGATGGTGTGTGAATACCAAAAGCCTTCTGGACTGAAGTCTGGATCAAGGTCTGGAAGGTGTGTCCAGTTGGTGAAGTTGACAATGGCGTCGCTGTCGGCGGTGCCAAGGTCAGGAACAAAATCAAGAACGAAGACGTTGTTCTTGAGAACCGCCTTGCCGATGTAAAGTCCTCCTCTCCCGTGATACAGCTTGAATTCTTGGGTGGTGCTGTCTGCTTTGAGGTGAATCCCCTTCGCCATTAGCTGACTGACGCTCAGTAAGTTGTAGCCGAGTCCCTCCGCGATTAGTACTTTTGACATTTGCAGTATAACGTTTGTTTCCCTTGACTGAAGTTGAACTATGCCTTGTCGCCGTGTTCGCAGGTTCTGATTGTTGGCGACTGTAATGACAACTTCGCGTTGAAGTTGGTGTTCTCGTTGAACGAAGCGTCCCGAGGAGCACATGTGCTGTCCGCAGCAACTGTCCAAGAACCATGTGTCCCTTCCGGATGGTTCGCTTTGGGCGATGGCGGCGTATGTTGGGTTCGGCTGAAGTGACTCGCGGCGGGGTGTGGTTTCGTCGAGTTGTTCTTCCGGTGA